ACCATAGTACTCAGTGATGGTTTGGTTACCTTGTTTCAAGGTGGCCAGAGCTTCTTCAATCTCTGCAACCCGAATGATGTCACCAGAACCATACCTTGTCTGCAGACTGCGCCAGGCTTCATATGCAGACTTGCTTGAGAGAATGGTCTTCCTAATCTCGTTGTCAACAGACTGCTGTATCCAGCTAAGTATCATCACATTGTTGCGGATCCAAGCACCATGCTTTGGATCTGTTTCTGGTGGTTCTGGTAAGGTTCCATTGATAAACCCCAGTTTGTTCTTTGCATCTAGAGCGTTGAACATTGCACGACTCCAATCGTTGTAGTTGATAGAAGAAAGACGTTCAGCAACCAAAAGAGAACCAGGTTGCTTTGATCCATGAAGGAAGTAAGGATCTTCCATCTGGTAGATGATTTGAGGTGGTGGTTGGGTGTTTGCAGCTGTTGCTGCATCTAGTTGTTGTTCCATTGGCGGTGTCTAGGGTTTCACAGGCTCTGATACCATAACAACGGATGTGAACAATGAAACCCTAAACTTGTATTGATCTGTCTCAAGTGATTACAATATATGGCAGCTGTTCTAACACTAGCAGACAAGCTTCAAAGTACATCTTTGTTGCTTACTTGAAATGGAAACAAACACTGGCTTGAAAGAAAAGTAAACTGATCATCGATCAAAGTAAAACGACAACGTCGTGGGAAAACGGTGCGCAGCGACACAAGGAGCGGAGACCACCGAAACGCAGCACTTCGACTTAGCTTCTTCAGCTCGTCGCGGGATGACCGTTGGAAACTCTGTCTTTGAATTTTTCAATGCCTGTGCTCTGTTACTGCAATCCATTTCCAATGCATCTCTTTAGATAAATTCATCTCTAATATTATTTAGATTGTTCCGTATACTATCTGATATGATAAATCTTTATTCACACTAGTTTTACAATTGTGTTATATCACGTCGCCTCGGAACTCGGAAGACCATATTGCTGACCTTCTAACCAGTTACTATGAGTTGACATCCAATTTCCTCTTTAACAAATTGATACCTAGAAACCACAATCACCATGCATCAAATGGGATGATTTTTAGCGTATTAAAGGCCCAATTCTATAACCCTTCTTGTATAATCCGGTTGTATCAGTCTGACACGACTCGTCTCGTTTGGTTGGTGTGCATAACTTGCCAGACGCCAGTTTTTTTTTTTACAAAAGATAATCGTATATATGATTCGAATAAAGATAGTTACAATGTAGGGGCCTTTCTAGCCACCAAATGGGCTAAAATGGCCTTTCAAAAAAGTCGCAAAAAATTACAAAAATGCCCTCTAGAAAATTCGACCAAAATTCCGCATAAATCGGCGATTAGTAGACTTCATCAGTGGTGGAGAGTACCCTAAGATCGAATCTGTGATCTGTAGCCTTCAAAATCAAAGGAAAATGGTCTTTCCAAAAAATCACTTGAAATCTGTGATGGTACCCCTTTGGAATCTGCCAAACATGGCCCTGGAAATATTCCACCCGAATAGATGTTTAATAGACTTATTCATCCCTAAAGAATACCCTAAGGTTGAATCCGTGATCTACAACCTTCAAAATCTAAGAAAAACGGCCTTCCGAAAAACTCGCCTAAAAATTACGAAAATGCCCTCCGAAAAATTCGACCAAATTTCACACCCAATCGGCCGTTACTAGACTTCATCGTTGCTGGAGAGTACCCTAAGCTCGAATTCGTGATCCATCGCCTTCAAAATCCATGGTACATGGCCTTTCCAAAAAATCGCCCGAAATCGGTGATGGTACCCCTTTGGAATCTGCCGAAAATTGCCCAGGAAATTTTCCGCCCGAATCGGTGTTGAATAGACTTATTCATCCCTAAAGAATACCCTAAGGCCGAATCCGTGATCTGCAGCCTTCAAAATCTAAGAAAAACGGCCTTCCGAAAAACTCGCCTAAAAATTACGAAAATGCCCTCCGAAAAAATTCGACCAAATTTCAGACCCAATCGGCCATTACTAGACTTCATCGTTGGTGGAGAGTACCCTAAGCTCGAATCCGTGATCCATCGCCTTCAAAATCCATGGTAAATGGCCTTTCCAAAAAAAATCGCCCGAAATCGGTGATGGTACCCCTTTGGAATCTGGCGAAAATTGCCCTGCAAATTTTCCGGCCTAATCGGTGTTGAATAGACTTATTCATCCCTAAAGAATACCCTAAGGCCGAATCCGTGATCTGCAGCCTTCAAAATCTAAGAAAAAGGGCCTTCCGAAAAACTCGCCTTAAAATTAGGAAAATGCCCTCCGAAAAATTCGACCAAATTTCAGACCCAATCGGCTGTTAGTAGACTTCATCGTTGGTGGAGAGTACCCTAAGCTCGAATCCGTGATCCATCGCCTTCAAAATCCATGGTACATGGCCTTTCCAAAAAATCGCCTAAAATCGGTGATGGTACCCCTTTGGAATATAGCGAAAATTGCCCCGGAAATTTTCCGTCCGAATCGGTGTTGAATAGACTTATTCATCCCTAAAGAATACCCTAAGGCCGAATCCGTGATCTGCAGCCTTCAAAATCTAAGAAAAATGGCCTTTCGAAAAACTCGCCTAAAAATTACGAAAATGCCCTCCGAAAAATTCGACCAAATTTCAGACCCAATCGGCCGTTACTAGACTTTATCGTTGGTGGAGAGTACCCTAAGCTCGAATCCGTGATCCATCGCCTTCAAAATTCATGGTACATGGCCTTTCCAAAAAATCGCCCGAAATCGGTGATGGTACCCCTTTGGAATCTGGCGAAAATTGCCCTGCAAATTTTCCGGCCTAATCTGTGTTGAATAGACTTATTCATCCCTAAAGAATACCCTAAGGCCGAATCCGTGATCTGCAGCCTTCAAAATCTAAGAAAAAGGGCCTTCCGAAAAACTCGCCTAAAAATTACGAAAATGCCCTCCGAAAAATTCGACCAAATTTCAGATCCAATCGGCCGTTAGTAGACTTCATCGTTGGTGGAGAGTACCCTAAGCTTGAATCCGTGATCCATCGCCTTCAAAATCCATGGTACATGGCCTTTCCAAAAAATCGCCCGAAATCGGTGATGGTACCCCTTTGGAATCTGGCAAAAATTGCCCTGCAAATTTTCCGGCCTAATCGGTGTTGAATAGACTTATTCATCCCTAAAGAATACCCTAAGGCCGAATCCGTGATCTGCAGCCTTCAAAATCTAAGAAAAAGGGCCTTCCGAAAAACTCGCCTAAAAATTACGAAAATGCCCTCCGAAAAATTCGACCGAATTTCAGACCCAATCGGCCGTTACTAGACTTCATCGTTGGTGGAGAGTACCCTAAGCTTGAATCTGTGATCCATCGCCTTCAAAATCCATGGTACATCGCCTTTCCAAAAAATCGCCCGAAATCGGTGATGGTACCCCTTTGGAATCTGGCGAAAATTGCCCCAGATATTTTCCGCCCGAATCGGTGTTGAATAGACTTATTCATCCCTAAAGAATACCCTAAGGCCGAATCCGTGATCTGCATCCTTCAAAATCTAAGAAAAACGGCCTTCCGAAAAACTCGGCTAAAAATTACGAAAATGCCTTCCGAAAAATTCGACCAAATTTCAGACCCAATCGGCCGTTACTAGACTTCATCGTTGGTGGAGAGTACTCTATGCTCGAATCTGTGATCCATCGCCTTCAAAATCCATGGTAAATGGCCTTTCCAAAAAATCGCCCGAAATCGGTGATGGTACCCCTTTGGAATCTGGCGAAAATTGCCCCGGAAATTTTCCGCCCGAATCGGTGTTGAATAGACTTATTCATCCCTAAAGAATACCCTCAGGCTGAATCCGTGATCTGCAGCCTTCAAAATCTAAGAAAAACGGCCTTCCGAAACACCACAAACAATATTAATTCAATAAATATCATCTCAAACTTAGAAATCACCTTATAGGTCGTGAATCGCTAGGTAAAGCCACATTGGGCTTACTCTATTACTACGCTGACCTACAAACCGTACACTATGCTCACAATAATCGCTAGGTAATGTACGACCTCCTCGAAAATGCCTCCCAACTGATTATTACGGGTGTCGGCCCGATTGATCTTCTCAATTACCACTTTGGCATCACCATCAAATCTTGTATCCGTAAATCTCGTCTCCGCCCGATTGATCTTCCAATGATGCCTGCCATTTATTGCTCTCGCTAAGTTCCTTACTTGGTACTCCAAGTCTCAGCATGTTTGTTACCTGCATACAGTGTAATGAGATTCTAGTTGCTGCAAATAAAGTTCCGAATTTCGATACTCAAATCTCCAGCTGAAACGTCCCAACAGATAATCAATCAACAGAAACAACTCCCCAACTGAAAAGCTGCATTATACAGATCCTCCATTATGTGATGGTTGGCTGGTAGTAGGGACAACCGAACTCGCAGCTCAAGTTATCAGAACATGGCATTTCTTTTTGCACATGAAAGACAGGTGAAGAGAGGCAGCACCATCTTCAGGCTGCAACGTCTCTAAACATGAAAGCTTGCATCTTTTTTTACCTTTATATGATGCTGACACAACACCTCTTTGCATTATACAAAACTTGGTCTAGGATCTGTGTGGATGCTGCATATCGAGCTTCCACGCACAATATGTAGTCTACTCTTTGTAGACATAACCACGCTTGGTAAACTACGTAAATCTTGTGTCCTGTATTTCTCGTTTCGTATGAATTCACGTTTACAGTATTCTGCAACTCCAAGCAAATACGAACAGCCGATTCATGATGTCATTTATTTCCATCTCTTTGCATTCACGTAGTAGTACTACTACTACCCTCCACCTTCCCCAACTATGACAATCGATCCCATGACGATTTCGATCTTTTTCGAGGCACTATATAAACCAGACCTCCCTCCCTCCACTTCTCAATCCATCCAACGACAATTCTCATTTCCAAACTCCAATATTATCCTCCCCACTCTTACTACTACTACTACTACTACATTGCTCTTCTCCAGCTTCCTACCCATCAAACATGATGAAAAAACAGAGCACTCTGTTTTCCGCCGCAGCATTCCTCTGCCTCCTCCTCCTCTGCCTCAAGAAGACCACAGCAGGACAATCCCCTGCATCATCTCCAACACAATCCGCCGCAGCAGCACCACCAGCATCCACCCCGGCAGCAACCCAACTCCCAGCCCCCGCCGGACCAACAAACGTCACCAAAATCCTCGAAAAAGCCGGCCACTTCAACACATTCATCCACCTCCTCCGATCCACACAGGAGGACAGCCACCTCCTCACCCTCCTCAACAACTCCAACAACGGCGCCACCATCTTCGCCCCGTCGGACTCCGCCTTCTCCTCCCTCAAATCCGGCACCCTCAACTCCCTCTCCGACGAGGCCAAATCCGAGCTCGTCAAGTTCCACGTCGTCCCCACTTTCCTCTCCTCCGCCCAATTCCAGACCGTCAGCAACCCGATCGCCACCGAGGCCGGATCCGGCGGCCGCGTGTCGTTCAATCTGACCGCGTACTCCGATTCCGTCAACATCACCACGGGGCTCACCAACACCAGCGTCGCCGGGAATGTGTACGCCGACAATCAGCTGGCGGTTTACAGGGTGGACAAGGTGTTGCTCCCTGTAGATATCTTTGCCGCCAAGCCTCTTGCTCCTGCTCCGACTCCCGCGGCGGCGGAGAAACCCAAGAAGAAGAAGGGGGCTCCGGCCGGCGAGGGGGAGGAGGCCGCCCCCGTTGTTCAGGTGGGTACGTCGGCGGCGGCTGCCGGGATTTTGGGAATTTGGAGCGTTAAGGTGACTGCGGCTTGTGTGCTTGTTCTAGCTTATACTTATGGCGGCTAATTGAATCTCTGAGCGATGCAGTTCTTGGGGTTTGAGGTTTTGATCTGTTAGAAATATCTTGCTATTTGGTTTCTGGAATTCGTTCCGCCGGCGTGCTCATGGTAGATTTAGAGAGTGTGCATTTGAATAAATGGGTGTCCTATGCTTCATATCGTTTCTTGGATGTTTAATTGAGTGTAATTTGTCATGTCGGTGTAAGATTTATTGACCTGATTTGTATAACTATGAAGAAGAGGGATTTTTATGGCTATTATTTGTTGTCATGATTTTGTGAAAAGGGTCTTTTCCCCTAGATAGTAGATAGCAGGGGTTACAGTGGTTACTTTAGTGTTAATAACCACCGTGATTACTAGTGATAAGAATGTTATTTTGCTATCATTATAATTCAAACTACCATTTTAATTATGCAGATAATTAGGAATTTATAATTACGAAAACTAATTATAAGGAGGTTCCCTGTCTCCTTCCGCCGGTCGCCCATGACCTCCTCTCACCCTCCTTCCCCCCATCCCAACTTCCCTCCACGCCTTTCCCCTCTGTCGGCTGTCGTACTGCCTCCCCTCACCCTCCCACCTCCCCACCCCTCTCCTCCCACCGCCTACACTCACCCTCCTTCCCCTCTCTCTCTCTCTCTCTCTCTGTAGATCGACAAAGAACATCTCGTCAGTGTCATCTGCATGAATGTCGAAAGCGAGCATAATTAAAGTTATGTGGCCCAATACAAACACTACCATAGCAAATGAGGTAACTATCAAAGCATAATGCAAACACTACCAAATGAAATACAGATAACTACCAAAGCAAATACAGGTAACTACCAAAGCGTAATGCACACACTACCAAAGAAAATACAGGAACTACCAAAGCATAATGCAAACACTACAAAAGCATAATGCAAATAGTACCAAAACAAAATGCAAGGTAGCTACCAAAGCAAATCCTCTACCAATGCAAATAATACCATTCCAGATTACATGTAGAAGCAAGCTATAATCAACGTCGTATGCGGTGGGAAACAAAACTGGAATGCAAAAGGAGCTAAAATCAACGTCGTCGATCGTCGTGCTCCGTCGGAGTGGGAGGAACTGGAAACGAAACAAAGCCGTTGGTACCCTCTCCAAACCACTAACCTAGAAACAACTAGTCGTCGGCCCGGATAGAATGACTGAGGTGGCCGGGGAGAGAGACTGCGGCGTCGGAGAGAGATGGAAAACGTTGGACGACGAAAGACGCCGGGAGAGCAAGGGGGGATGAAGAAGCTTCTACAAAATGGAAAAGGGTTCTTCCCCTTTTTGGGAACGATATTGATAAGGAAAAGGATAAAGAAGTGGGAGCGTTAGAAAAGGAAAAAGTCCTCTGATTTTGGGCCCCAATAATGGTGTGAAGTGATTGTGTGGATCCACATAATCTGTATGGCCAAAAAAGGGTAGCCACAATGGTTACTTAAAAGAAAGTAACCAGGGTAACACATTCCTAGATAGCATAGGATTGATACAAGGTAACTTAAAGCACACCGCATGATTAGACGCGACAACCGACAAATAGTTGAGCTGCTGATGAGAGGTTGTGGTTCACGATTAAATGGGACGCCCAATGCATGCTCCACCTCCCGTGCTGCCACCAGTCGAATATGAGATTGACAGTCCCCACAAAAATTAACCACATGAAAAGCATGAGTTAGGCACCATCGAATAGCCTCATGAAGAGCTAGAAGTTCTGCAATGAAAGAATCTGTCATACCTGGATAATACTTGACAATTGCAAACAGAATAGGACCAGAAGAAGAAAAGCCTACAAAGCCAATTCTGCCACCAAGAGCAGGCCGCATGGCTAAATCAAAGCGAACAAGGATGCCTTAAGAGGGACAACACCTGATGTTCTAAATTTCCACGACGACCACCCGCAGGAGGTGAAGCAACAAGATCTGGTTCACGCTCTGACTCGAGCAGGAAAGAAGCGGCCCGCCATTCATCGACTTGAGCTTCAAAATGGGGACACAGAGACGGGGATAAATACAGAATGTGCTCATGTATAGCCCAACAATGAGCCTTCCAAATATGTCAACATAAGAATATGACTTTTGCCACCTCCAACTTGGTCAAACGAGCCTTCCCTCTCCGAACTTGGTTTATTCCATTGTTTGATTCCTCTCTGCCAATTGCACAACTCCCTTCCAAGCTTTATACTTGGCGCTGATAATCTTCATTGGCGATTTCATTGAATATATAGTATGCATTGTTGTGGAATCATGTCTTTGATGTTCCAACGATACCATTTCTCAAAACCTTGCGGTCTCTTTTATTGATGCCAACATATCCATGTTCTTATATCGATACCCAAACTTCACACAGGTTTCATCTTCATACGCTCGCCAACTGGTTCCTCTCTTGTCGGACATTTTTTTTTGTCCTAGAGATTATAAATAGATGAGATTGCAAGAATTTGATGTAAGGTCTGAATTTTTTTGTTTACAAAAGAAAATCATATATTGATTCAAAAGATAGGTAATTACATTAAGCCAGGCCTGAAAATCAAACACACGACACATAGTCGGGTACAAAGAAAGGGCTTTTCGAGCGACCAAGTGGGCTACCCTATTGTTACGCCGTCCTACAAATCGCACACCAAATTCACTATAATTGGCTAAATACATCACAATTTCTTCTAGAATCACGCGCATCCGATTATCGCTGCTATCTGCCTGATTGATCTTTTCAATGACTACTTTCACATCACCTTCAAATCGCATCTCTGTGAAACCATGGGCCAGACACCAAAGGATGGCCTCACGAAGCGTCCGTAATTCTACCACCATAGGGTCATCAATGAAAGGGAACTGGAAGCCCCGAACCCAAAGGATTTGACGATCCTGGCTCATAATAACCATTCCGCCTGCCGAATGAGACCCACGCCTAATTACCCCATCCCACATACAAACAGCAAAGGGAGCCCCACTAGGACTCCACTGTTGTACCAGAGGAGCAGAAGAACGTAGAACCTGATCCACCGACAAACTTTCCCACTCCGCATATTGTTGATTAAACTGGCGCATCAAGGCTGAGAGCCTGTATTGTTTTCCTTCAAAAACCACCCAGTTACGAGATCGCCAGATCCTTCACAACAGTGCAACAATGGCCATAAACAAGGATGGTTGGTGGATAAGAGTTATCAGCTTCTTTAAGAAGAGATGGAAGGTATGTCGAGGCAAACCCTGTCCAAGATGCTCCATCCCCGAAAGATCCCAAAGCGCCCGAGCTACCGGGCAGTCAAGAAACAAGTGCTCCATTGTTTCCGATTCACCCCAGCAACCTGGATACCTAGGAATCACATGGACATCCTTCTCAATTAGGGCCTCTATAATTGGAAGGATTCTATTGAAAATTTTCCAGACAAAAACCTTCAATTTGGGTGGGATATTTGGTTCCCATAACCGAATCCAACTGGCCCTATCCATCCAACTAGCCATGGACTTTCACCGACCCCTCCTTGTATTCAAAGCGACTGCAAAATGGTAGGCCGACTTGACAGAGAAAACCCCATCAGGCGTAGCATGCCAGATCAATTTGTCTGGAATATCCTGACGAGGAAGAGGGATTGCTTTGATGGCCTGGCAGGTAGAAGGATCAAACCTTTGGGAAAGGTTATTATAACACCAACGACCTTCACCTTGACATATAACCTCAACATCAGAAGGATGCCCCCCCAGAAGGCAGTACCCGGGGATTAAACATTGGGGGATTAGGATGCAATTTAGGAATCCAGTTAGAATGAAGCAGAGAGGCCGTCTGGCCATTCCCAATTTGCCATCTCAAGCCCAAATCTAATAGCTGACGGCCATCCCTAGGACGGGCGAGAGCGCGCCGTAGCAGTAAGGAAAGCCCCATTGGGAAAATACTTACCCTAATAAACTTGAGCCAGAAGAGACTAGGGTTCAGACAGAATTCACCATCCAATTTTGGCCAGTAGAGCTTGATTAAAATGCTCGAATCTTCGAAACCCCATTCCCCCTTCATGCTTACTCCGACACATATTGCGCCATGATAAGGAAAGAAAATGACATCGATCTGAGACATTCCTGTATCCACCCTCTCCAAACTGAGCTATCTTGGCGCAATATGTGTCAGAGTAAGCATGATTAAAATTGGCACAAACTGATTAAAATTCTCCAAAACCGCAAGTAGAAAGGGCCATTCGACTCTATCATAGGCCTTTTCCATGTCAACCTTTAAAGCCATGTACCCTTTCTTACAGTGAGTTTTGATTTTTAAATAGTGCATTAGCTCATGGCCTAAGAGAATAATATCAATTATTTGTCTTTCCCGGATAAACACATTTTGTCCCTCCGAAATGATCTGCGGAAGGAAGCTAGCTAGCCTCTCAGCCATGATTTTGGTAATAATTTTATACACAAATTGGCACAAACTGATTGGACGAAGCTGCCACATTGTTTCTACATTTTCCACCTTAGGTATTAGGGTCAACCAAGTATGATTGAAGCTCCTGAGTAGCTTGCTTGTTGCAAATAAAGAGTAAACCGCTTCAATCACTCCCAGAAAGCTTTGAATAACTTCCCCGTGAACCCATCAGACCCAGGTGTCTGTTTGGATCCCATAGAGAAGACCATTTTTCGGACCTCGCCTGGAAGGACTCCTGCAGTTGAATGAGCATTAATTTCTTCGGTAACACTCTGGGCTATGGGAAGAGCCGCCACACGATCAGTAATATTCATCACCTGATTCTCCAAAGTGAAAAGGTTCTTATAAAAATGAGAGGCTATGTTAGCCTTCCCACTTTCCTCAGTGACCTACTCTCCTTCCTCATTCCGAAGACCAGACACAAAATTTCATTTTCTACGGGCCCGTGTGACCGTATGAAAGTATGCCAAATTTTTATCACCCTTCTTCAACCACCTCACTCTGGACTTTTGTTGCCAATAAACTTCTTCCGCCTCCCATTGTCTGCTTAATTCAACTTCAATATCTCGTATCTCAACCCAATTAATTGGGTATATTGATTTAATTCTCTCTATTTCAGCTTGGAGAGTTTTGATGTTACGAAGGGAATTCGTGGTACCCGCCCTACTCCAGTCATAGAGCAGATGACACAGTTTTTTAAGTTTTTCCCAAAGCTGATACATAGGAGTCCCATGGATGTTCTCCTGCCAAACATATGCCACCATAGCTTTTACCTCAGGGTTGTCCGCCCAACGGGCATCAAATCGGAATAGGGGGAGACTATTACGGACATAGGGTTTGTCAGATAACAACAGAGCCCGATGATCAGAACCCTAGTCCGCAAAATGTTTGACAAGAGTCTTAGGGAAGCAATCAATCCAAGTCTGCTAGCAAAGAGCCCTATCGAGCCGCTCACGAACATTAGCCATGCCCATGCGTTTGTTCGTCCAAGTAAATTGGTCTCCCTGGAACCCAGGATCTTGAAGACTGTGGTCATTAACAAAATCACGAAGGCCTATAGATTGTGAGGCGTTCCACGGGGTGCCACCCTCCTTCTCGTTCTCATGGAGAGTAACGTTGAGGTCACCAATTACCACAAAAATGTAAGGTCTGAGAATGAAAAGAAAAAAAACCATAAAAGAGTAATTGAATATATGTAAAAAAATGACACATTTTTATGGTCATTAAAATATAATTATTGCCATGTGACCATTTTTGTCTCTATATTCATATGCTCTTTTAAATTATCAAACAAATACCACAAAATGATATGTAAAGAAAAAATATATAATTGGGACTTTCCTCCCGCGCTCGTGCGGTCCAGGCGTGTGTGACTCGTCCTTTGCGGCAGTCCATCCATTTCCAGCCCTAATGTTTTTTCGTTCTCCATAGGAAGGAGAATATAAGATTTTTCAATTATATTTTTCCTAATGTAATTAATTTGGAAGCTAGAGAAAATACTTTTAAGTTTTAAGATTCAATCGCATTGACATGACAAAACTATTACAGAAAGATCTCGTGACTCGTTTATTTGAGAGGCCAGGATCACCGACTGTGAGACTCTCCTCGAGGAGGGTTGCATTGGAGGTTAAATGATCTCAAAAATTGAGAACTCATATCTCCCCTTTCCGTTAGAAATTACAGGAAAGGGGTTTTTTTTTTTTTTTGGTAAGGAGGAAAGGGTTCTTTTCATAGAGAGCAAACCATATATAGTTACGGAAATTAATTTGTATTTGAACCCTATAACACACGAGAATTATATTTTGCTTCACTGAAAGACTTACATCACACTATGGAATGTCTAATTCCTTAATAAGATGTATTTATGTTGTTGGATAATCTTCACTATTTTTTAGTTAAAATAATATTAAATGAGAAGCAATGTATGTGAGTTATAGTGTTATCAATTATAACCAAAAACTAATAAAATCATAAATGACGAAAAGACAAGTGCAAAGCAACGGCATCGTTATTACTATGATAACAATATTATTATTGAATTAAATTCATTGCATCCTTAGAGAGGAGAAACGAGATAAAAGATAAGGTAAATTTTTAACGAAGACCATCAACTTGCTTATAAGTGGTTGTTGTCTATCAATGGCGACTGTTTTGGTTGGCACTCTGCCTCACAGAAAGGCGTACAAACTGCTCCGCCCGTCCTCTCACAATCCTTCAGGCATTTCTTGAAGCAATCGATGAATATTTGGGCCGCGGCAACGTCCATCATCATCCCAACGGTCACCACAAGCAGCACCAATACCAAACTCGTCACCAACACTCTTCTCTTGCCCGAATCCATAATGATGATAGCAAATTTGGGAACTTACAATAGCAAATTTGCCTAACTATTTTGTTTCACTGCTTTTCCCAACTCCGCGTTCAACTCTTATATATAGTTGGAACTTACAATAGCAAATTTGCTAGAAAGATAAGGGAATAAAATATCCATAATTATATGTTCATAGAACCAAAGAATTGATTTTTCATAATTGGTAATATATAGTTTTATTAGGTAGGAAATACAAATGAGTGTGAGAGCAAATACAATGCATGTTTCCCTTTCCTATCTATAAAGATCATCTTATCGCATCGTGCGGCCCAGGCGGTGCCTTTGGCATGTGGCACGGCCCTTGCGAGTTGCAACGAGTCCACCCATTTCTGGCCCAATATTTAGCATGCCAACCACATTCCCCCTGTTGGAACTTGGAATTAGGGCTACAAATGAGCCGAACCGCTCGCGAGCGGTTTGTTCGATTTGGGGAAAACGCGTTCGAAACTCGGTCCGTTTACTAACGAGTCGAGTTTGAGCTAAGCCTTTTGCAACTCGTGAAACTCGCGAGCTAGCTCAACTCGGTGGCTTGATGAACTCAACTCGTGAGCTGGCTGGTTTAGAGCTCATGAGATGCCTTAATTCTCGATCTAGAGAGCCAACTCGATTACTGACTTATGAGCGAATCGATCTTTATGAGTTTGATTATGATATTTCATAGATTGTTAAATTATATATTCACGCTATATGAAGTTTAACACATAGATTATGTGAGTAAATATGTCTTATTTCATTTTTTTAAAAAAATTATGTATTGTAGATTGCTTCAATACTATGAAATAATATAATTTTCACTAGTTTATTAACTAAATAATTTGATATAACATGAGATTAGTTAATATTGAATATTAAACTATTTTTTTCATCTTGACATTAATCTCATGTATCATGCCTGACATATAAAATGTATATATCAAATACGAGTCAAGTTTTTATGAAGCAAGCTAGCTCGAACTCGAATCGACTCGGCTCGTTAATAAACAAGCCGAGCTCGAGCTCAACTCGTTATATTAACGCGTCGAGCTCAAGTTGGGATAAAACTCGACTCAACTTGACTCATTTGCGGCCCTGATTGGAATTAAAATTATGGACAAGGTTTTCTTTTCGGGAAACAAGCAATTTAGAGTTACGAATATTAATTTGTAAATGAATCATTGCAACATGTGTCGATTATATTTCGCTTCACACAAAGACTTACTCACACTAGGAAGGTCTAATTTGTTATCAAGATTTTTTGAAATAAAAAGGGCTTAATTGCATGGTTGGTCACTGAGATTATAAAAAAAGTCAAGTTTGGTCACTAAAAATATTTAAATCCATTGGTGGTACTTCAGTTTAATAAAACGGTTCTCGTTTGGTCAACTCTCAAAGTTGACCGTTAACTTAGTGACGTGGCAATTAAAAAATAAAAAATTTAATCTATTTAAATCTCCAACTCATTTTACCATAAAATAAATAAATACAATAAAATATATTATAATTATTAATAACCAAATTAAAAGGCTTCCAGCTGCGCCAGAAAATAGGACATTGTCAAATTGTTTATGCTCTATAAAGTTCTTCTCCTCCTTACACACCATAATTTTCCCCTTAGATTTGCTGTAGATTTCTGTTATGTTTAGCCAATCCCCCAGGAAGATAATGAGAGCTTGGATGTCTGAGGAGAGAGTTAGCGCCCCCTATATAAAGATGACCCAATAACTGAGACTCCATTGCCGAGCTCGACAACGGCTTAGAATCGACGATCAATTGTCCCCGCAGCGACGGTCAGCACCCATGGTATCCGTTTCTAAGGGTTTGGTACGATGGGCCGTTGTTCCCGACGGCAAGGGCGACGAAGACGTTCTTCTCAATGGCGGCAGCGAATGTCGACAAGGCAATCGGGTCCTCGTAGAGCAGGGGTTGATCCATTCCAAAAGATATGGATAAGACGTCCACATCGTCGCCAACTGCTCGATCAATTGCCGCAATGAAATCCGAATCCTCCACAGGTACGTACATTGCTACGTGAGCTTTGGGAGCCACTCCCCTTGCGGTTCCAGGTGCGTAGCCGTGGTTGAATGCCCCATCCACGAAGCTTCCGGCTGCTATGCTTAGGATTAGGGATGACAATTACCCACCCATGGGTAATTTTACCCAAATCCAAATAGATCCATTTAGTATAGGTAGGGTTTGGATGAAGTGTATATGGGTTTGGGGGTTTGTAGATGGGTTTGGGTTAGGTATGGATATTGCTTTCATAATGTAAATGAGTATGGGTTGGATATGGATATCCATTTACTTGAGGGTGTTTTAACTACACACAAAAATTGGACCTATTTGTAAAACTTGAAAAGTTTAGGTATCAAAATGTAAGACCAAAAAAATTTAGGTACCAAAATGTAATTTTTCATCGATATTTTGAGGACTTATATGCAAAAAAATTAAATTTAGGTACTAAATCTGCATATCTATTAAGTTTAGGTACCAAACTGTAATTTGTCTTTGGGCACGGGTACAAACCCAAATCCATGTGTTAAAAACCCAACCCAACCCAAGTAAATGGGTATGGGTAGAAATCCATCAAACTCTACCCATCTACCATTTATTTGGAATCCATACCCAACCCAATTGGGTTGGATAGTAAAATACCCATGGATATGGGCAAAATTGCCATCCCTACTTAGGATGCTTGTGGGATTCGAGGATTCCGTCAGGAGTTGGTTGAGATCGTGCAGATTATGATTAGGATGCCCGAGAAGAAATTCAAATCTGGGGAATTTGCTCTCTAAGCTGTTTCCATTGATGTAAAATCATATATATACAGAGGTTTGAAACTAATCACTGTGGCTTAACGGCTAAATGAAACTAACAAATAAACCTACCAATCAAAGCTATACACGTGTATTATCTACCATTAAAATGGAACTCAATTCATTGGTGAAGAACGCCACCGTTTCTGGCTACACTTAAATCCAAACGTGTCCGTTTTGCTCTGCTCCTTGTTCTTCATTTTGTTCTTTGTTTCTGGAGCAGAGCTGCACATTCTGGTTGCTGCTGAGCAACTCAGATCACCTGAGGGATGATCATCTTGCCTCTCTATTACCATCCCACAAGCTGGCGAGTATATATCATATACTCCCAGCTTGGACAATAAGGATGCAAAGCGATCCACAGATAACCAGGGCCAGAAAGATGAAAAAACAGGAGCAATGGAGGTTGATGCCCACGACTAAGAGGCTGCCGATCTCACGCCCCGTTGTCAGGGAAGTTTCCAGATCACCATCCGACTCTTTCTGTCTTAATGATCAGTCTATTCATGTGGAATTGCCGGGGGGCTAAACACCCTAAATTTCATTCTACGTTTAAAGAGTACATGCGCACCCATAGACCAAACATCGTCTTTATTGTCGAGCCTCGCATCAGCGGCAAAGAAGCTGAAGATGTGATTGGTACTCTGGGCTTTGATCGTCATGAGTTAGTCGATGCTGTCGGATTTTCTGGCGGCATTTGGGTCCTTTGGAACAATGCTGATTTTTCTATTACAATTTTGGATCAAAACCCTCAATTTCTCCACTTTCGTTGTGCAGGTAGCAATGGGCACGGTGTAATTCTGACTGCCGTTTACGCCAAGCCTAACGACTATGACCGCCGCCCTCTGTGGCAGGAACTTAGGAGGCTCAACTCGATCACGAAAGAGCCTTGGTTACTGGCAGGCGACTTTAACTCAGTCACTTGTCCCACTGAACGGAGGGGGGGGGGGGGAGCCAAATTCAATCCTCAAAGGGCTGTTGATTTTAGTAACTGCATCCGTGACTGTGGTTTCATTGATACTGGGTTTGTAGGGCCAAACTTCACTTGGACGAACGGCCGGCTATCCCAGCGGATTGATAGAGCTATTTGTAATCAAGTGTGGATCAGGCAGTATCCTGAGACTACCACCATGCACCTGCCAAGACTTCGATCTGATCATCGGCCAATTCTTATCCGCAATTACACAAATCACATCCCGCCTAGACAAGTAAGACCCTTCAGATTCCTTGCCCCTTGGCTGGCTCATGATGATTTCCCCCGTATGCTTGATACCTCCTGGAAACGGGGAAGGGATTGTTTACTTTCTTTGCAGGATCTCCAAGATCAACTTCGGATATGGAATAGAGAAATCTTTGGCAATATCTTCAGAAGGAAAGCATCTCTCACCAAACAGCTTCGGAATCTTGAAGTGAAAAACGACCAGACATCAAATGATCAATCTCTTCAAGAGGAGACTCGAGTGAGGGAAGAACTAGAGCAGACGTTATGGCAGGAAGAGCTGTTGTGGTTGCAGAAATCGCGTCACAATCACATCATCAATGGAGACCGCAACACTCACTTCTTTCACACTTCAACACTGACCCGCAGGAGGAAGAGCAGAATCACCAAGCTTCGGAATGATGATGGTGCTTGGATAGAAGAACCGGCAGCACTCAGCTCAATGGCGAGAGACTATTACCGCAACCTGTATACGGAAGAGGAGACCGATCAGATCATAATATATGCTGGGTTCAGGGAGTTAGAGGAGGGCAGAACTAGCAAACTTACCTCAATTCCCTCCATAGCTGAGACTCTTGCTGTTATCAAGGAAATGGGTGGACTTAAAGCCCCGGGAAAGGATGGTTTCCAAGGTGTCTTTTACCAGAAGTGCTGGAACAAAGTGGGAGCTGATCTGCATAATCATATTGTTGAATGTTTCAGGGATCCAAGTCGCATCAAACTCTGTAATGAGACTCTCCTTGTGCTGCTGCCCAAGATTGAAGCTCCTACGATGATGTCACAATTTAGACCAATTGGCCTTCGCAATGTAAGTTACAAAATCATAGCGAAATGCTTGGCCAATCGCCTCAAGGAGCTGATGCCTTGGCTGATAGACCCCAATCAATCAAGCTTCGTCCCAAAGCGGCACATCACAGACAACATAATCATCTTGCAAGAGGTGATTCACTCCATGTCTCTTAAATCAGGGAAGAAGGGATTAATGTTTCTGAAAATCGACCTGGCGAAAGCTTACGACCGGATCAACTGGCGGTTCCTGGAAGCCACTCTGGCGGCTGCTGGTCTCCCATCCGATTTCATTAATATGATCATGGCTTGCGTCACAACCACCAGCTTCCAAGTGCTGTGGAACGGAGGATGCACCGAGAAGTTTCAACCTTCCCGCGGTCTCCGTCAGGATGTCCCTTATCACCTTACCTATTCACTTTGTGTGTTGAAAGACTGAATCACTGCATTAAGGATTCTATTGCTGATAAGTCTTGGAATCCGATTTTCCTCTCCAAGAATGGTCCCCCTCTAACTCACCTCTTCTTTGCAGATGATCTGGTCCTATTTGCAGAGGCAAAGCCGAGTCAGGGAGAGGCTATTCTAAAGTGCTTGGAGCAATTCTGTAAAGCGTCAGGAGAACAAGTCAGAAAATAGAAATCCGTCATCTTTTTCTCTAAGAATGCCAAGGAAAGAGCCAAGAGAAATATTAGCAACCTGCTGGGAATCAAATCCACTTCAAGCCTTGGAAAATACCTTGGAGTGCCGGTAATTCATGGGCGGGTGACTAAGGACACTTATAAATTCATCATCAAAAAGATCGAAAAGCGACTATCTGGATGGAAAGCTAGGAGTCTATCTCTGGCCGGTCGAGTGACATTAGCTACATCGGTGCTCAATGCATTGCCAAATTACGTCATGCAAACTGATGTGCTCCCGGTCTCCATTTGCGATATCATTGACAGAAAAATAAGAGCTTTTGTTTGGGGAGCAGAGGAAGGGAAACACAAAGCTAGTCTAGTCTCCTGGGACTCAATTTGCAAGCCCAAGGAAGATGGGGGGCTTGGGTTACGGTCGGCGAGAGCGTTTAACTTAGCGTATCTAATGAAACTTGGATGGGCTTTTCTGAACAACAGTGAAGAGCTTTGGATAAGGGTGCTGCAGGGGAAGACAGCCTGATTGGAAGAAGATATGGAAGTGGAATGGACCCAGCCGCATAAAGCACTTCTTGTGGCTCGCGACTCACGAAAGATTAATGACGAACTGCGAAAGACGGCGCAGGAAGCTGACGGATACCGACACATGCGAATTGTGCAAACTTGGGCCAGAAACAACGGAACATGTGCTGCGGCATTGCTCGCATTCACAGCAGGTATGGCGCCGATTGAATATCACTGATAATTCTCTTACTGTGGGCCTTCGTTTTGTAGACTGGCTGGCGTCAAGGTTGAAGGATGCTGAAACCGGGCTATTATTTGGAGTGGCAGTCTGGTATCTATGGAAACGACGGAACGAGGTGATCTTCCAGCAGAAGAAGATTGATGACCTGACACTGGAATAGAGGATTCGGAGCTGTGCTGAAACGATCAAACAAGCGCAAGAGAATGACAAGCGGGTGCATTCAGCTGCCACCACCAAAACTTCGGAGCAAATAAATTGGAACCCCCCGCTAGCTGGTTGGGTCCGGGTGAACACAGATGGCTCCGTTCGGCAGCCGGGCTCGCAAGCAGCGGCAGGTGGCCTCATCTGCGATGAACTAGGGAGATGCACATGAGCTTTTACTGCTAACTTGGGAAGCTTCACTATTACAAGAGCCGAGCTCATCGGGGCGTTTCATGGTCTCAAATTGGCGTGGGATCAGGGTCACAAGAAGGTGCAACTTCAACTCGATTCCTCGACGGCCATCAGGATGATTACTACAGGAGAGGAGCAACATCAGAGATACTACACCATCATCAGACAACTTCGAGATCTCATCAATAGAAATTGGGAGGTACAAGTCTCTCATACTTTCAGGGAGGGTAACAAAACCGCAGATTTTCTCGCCAATAAAGGGCATAGTGTTAGTATAGGATGTCATTTTGTTAGCATCTCGGACCCGGGTCTCTCTTTTTGGATTCTGTATGACACTATGGGTATTGCCCAAGATCGTTTAATTTAAGTGCCAGGCAGGGGTGCCCTTTTAGCACCCCATTTTCTACCCAAAAAAAAAAAAGATAAACTCTTAGTGAAGATGTCTGCAGGTTGAGAATCAGTTGGCACATGATGTAAAGAAATTAACCCAGACTGTACCCTTTCTCTTATCACATGACAATCCACATCAATATGCTTTGTTCTCTCGTGGAACACTGGATTTTCAGCAATGTGAATCGCTGACTGATTGTCACAAAAAACCTTGACTGTTTGAGGATGTTCTACTCCAAAATCTTTGAGTAATCTGGTTAACCATTCACTTCACAGCTCAAACTAGCCAAGGCCCTATATTCTGCTTTAGAGGAGGATCTGGATACTGTCTTCTGCTTTTTACTTTTCCATGTAACAATTCCAGAACCAAGAAAAGTACAGTATCCAGTTATAGATTTTCTAGTATCTGGACAGGTAGCCCAATCTGAATCACTGAACCCCTTCAACTCCAGCTTAGTATCCTTAGGGTAAAGAAGTCCTTGTCCAGGTGACCCTTTGAGATACCTTAGAACTCTATGCAAAGCTCTCAAATGCAAACTTGTAGGATTGTCCTGATATGTGCAAAATTGCTGGACAGCAAATGCAATATCTGGCCTTGTAGTTGTCAAGTATTGCAGCTGACCTATATAATGCTCATAACTTGCAACATCTAGCAAATGAGTGCCTCATGTAGCAGATAACACTTCCTTAACATAAATTGGAGTAGATGCAGGCTTACATTTCTCAAATCCTGATTCTGCTAGGAGTTCTAAGCCATATTTCCTCTGTGAAACAGTTATGCCTCTTACTCTTCTTGTTACTTCCAGACCAAGGAAGTACTTCAATTCCCCCAAATAGGGCTGCAAACGAGCCGAGTCGAGTCGAGTTTTTGCTCAGCTTGAGCTCGGCTCGTTTATAAATTTTTCAGCTCGAGCTCGGCTCGAACTCGAATTTTGATCATCCAGCTCGAGCTCGAGCTCGACTCGATTAAAAATAATCCAGCTCGAGCTCAGCTCGATAAAGCTCGATAATTTCTCATTAACACAGCTTGTCAAGCTGGGTACAAGCTCGGCTCAAGATGAGCTCGATTTGAAACCATTCTTTGCTGAAAAATGTGTACAAATAAGAATATCATAAACTAAAAATGATAAAAATAATACTACAAACTAAAAATAACATCTAACTTCCATACACATCTTTATTAACATGATAAATTTCATGCTCAAAAGAGTAATTAATCTTTCGACGAACTCTAAACAAGCCAGCTCGCGAGCTTAGCTCAACAAGCCACCGAGTCAAGCTAGCTCACGAGCTTATCAAGCTGAGCATGGTCTAGCTCAAGCTTGGCTCGTTTACTAACGAGTTGGCTCGCGAGCCGCCTTGTTAAACAACGAGTCGAGTGTCGAACGAGTTTTTTACGATTCGAACGCCGAGTTGCTCGCAAGCAGCTTGGCTCATTTGCAGCCCTACCCCCAAATCTTTCATCTTGAATTCTACTTATAAGATTCTTTTGGTTTCTGTAATGGATTCTAAACTGACACTTCCAATCAAAATGTCATCAACATAAACAATAAGCATAACGAGTGCACCAAGAATCTGTGCTGTGAAGATGGAATACTCAGAGGAAGTTTGCTGGAATCCATGCTTCAACAAGCTTTCAGTAAGCTTAGTGTACCACTGTCTACTTGCTTGTTTCAACCCATAAAGGGATTTCTTCAAGTGACAGACCTTGCCTTTGTAATCAACTCCCAAATCCAAAGCATCAGGTATTTCCATATAGACCTCTTCTGTTAAGTCACCATTCAAGAAGGCATTGCTTACATCCATTTGATGTAAGTGCCAATTCTGCACGGCTGCAACTGCAAGTAAGGTTTTAACTGAACTTAGTTTAGCTGATGGTGAAAAAGTGTCAAAGTAGTCTATACTATAAACCTGGGTATACCCCTTGGCAACTAGTCTTGCCTTATATCTTTCAACTGATCCATTAGAATGAAGCTTCACTCTGAAAACCCATTTGCAGCCTATTTCCCTCTTGCCAACTGGTAAATCTTTGGTTTCCCATGTCCCATTATCAATCAAGGCTTTCAACTCTTCTTGAACTGCTTTATCCCGGTGAGGACTCTGCATTGCTTCTTGGTAAGAAGAGGGTTCTCTGTGTGAAGTCAACCTGTTTATAAAGTGTTGGTGCTTTGGTAGTAGATGAGTGTATGAAAGGGCTCTATGAATGGGGTGAGATACATGATAGTCTGCATGCCAATTGGGTGGTTTGACAGTCCTGGTCAATTTTCCCAGTTGAACATGAGATGGAGAATGAGAAGGACGGTTTAATTGAATAGGGGAGAATGGTGAAGGTGTAGGTGAAGTAGGAGAAGAAGAGGGAGGTGTAATATGTGAATCATCAGGATGAGTTTGAGGTGAGGGAGAATTTGAGGAGGAGGAGGATGGACTTGAGGAAATAAGAAAGGGAATTGGTGATTTAGGAGAGGGAAATGGAGGCTGTGTGCCCCTCTCAGACTGAGGATTCACAGGGACTGAAACATCTGAAGAAAAAGAAGAATCAGATGGTTGGGAATTTGTAAAAGAGGAAGGTGTAGGAAAGAAGGAAAAGGTTGTTGATGAAGTGGAATTAGGTGATGTAAGTGAGGAAGAAGTAGAACTGTGATTGGCATAGGGTAAGATGTTTTCATGAATAAATACATCTCTAGAGAAAAACACTCTTCTGGTGTCAATGTCAAGGAGTTTAAAACCTTTAATCCTAGTAGGTATGCCAAGGAAAATACACTGCTTGGCTCTGGGAGAGAACTTAGTTCTGTGTGGACCAGATGTGGAAGCATAGACTAGGCAACCAAAAACTTTCAGGGTACTATAGTCTGGTGGAACGCCATAAAGTTTCTCATAAGGACTGAGATTGTTCAGGATGGGAGTGGGAATTCTGTTGATCAACTAGGCAGCATGGAGTATAAATTCACTCCAGTAAGCTAGAGGAAGCCCAGACTGAAATTTGAGAGCTCTTGCAACATTTAACAGGTGTGGGTGCTTCCTTTCAACTCGGCCATTCTGTTGTGGAGTGTACACCACACTCATTTGATGTTCAATTCCATGAGTTCTATAGAATTCATCCATATGAAATTCCATTCCCTGGTCTGTCTTGATGATTTGAATGGATTTGTTGAATTGGGTTTTCACCATAACACAAAAAGACTGCAACAAACCCCTAGATTCATCCTTAGACTTCGAAAAATAGGTCCACGCACATCTACTTAAATCATCAACTATAGTTAAGAAATAGTTGAAACCATTATGAGAAGTGGTGCTCAAAGGCCCCCAAATGTCTACATGTAGTAAACCAAACAAAGAGGAATGAACTGAGGTACTAACTGGAAAGGGAGACCTTTTCTGTTTTGATAAATGACAAACATCACAGTGAACAATCTTAGAAACTAATACATCTGGACATTGTTTGTGTATAGTTTCTAATATGGAAATGTATGGATGACCCAATCTGGCATGCCGGAGATCAAAACTTTGTGGCTGAAAATTGAGTTGTGAAGCAGCAAAACACTTTGGATTGGATGAGTGGCAGTCTTGAGTAATGGTTTGAATCTCATTGAACAGGTATAACCCCTTATCCACTTGGGCTAAACCAATCCTCCTCTGTGTAATAAGATCCTAAATGACACAGAAAGAGGATTTAGAAAGAGGTGAGACAAGGTTGTTTTTGGTGAGTTTACTGACAGAAACAAGATTTTAACAGAAACTTGGAACAAACAGGACTTGAGAAAGTTATAGTCCACGCAGAAGTCTAACTATTCCTATGTGTGTGGCCTGGACTTTGTTACCATTTGGTAAATTGACAAAGACTCCCTGCAACGGTCTATACTTTAAGAAATATTTCAGATCACAAATTATGTGATATGTAGCACCTGTGTCTAAAACCCATAGTGGTTCCACTATCCTAGCTAGAAGGGTTGAGAGGACTGTGGTACCTGAACTCGAAGGGAGATAGACAGGGTGATACTGAGTGGCTCCTGATTGATGCTGACCAGGTTGATGTTGAGTAGTGACTGGCTGACTGCTGCATTTGCAACATGCCTGATAGATGGTGAAGTTGGTGGAGAAGGAGATGATTGTGGTGATCCAAGCAGCAGGATCCTCAATCTTTCCATCTGATCATTGCTTAGTTGAAGACTAGCCAGGCCAGTTGAGTTGTTTCTACTTGGTGCATCATGTTGCACAGATGTTGCTCCAAGAATACTAGAGTCAGATTCAGATACTGCTTCAACAAAACCAGCAAAGCTTGAGCCACCAGATTACCTTGTTTTCTTGTTTTTCAGCCTATAACATTCACTGATAAAGTGGTTATCCTTTTTACAATACCTACAGAACTTCTTGCCATCCTTGTAATCTCTGTTGTTGTGACTGACATTCTATGGTGAACCAACTGCCAATGCAACTGAATCAACTCCACTAGACTTAGGAGCACTCTTCATTTGTCTTTCCAGTTGCAAGATTTGCTTGAAAACAACATCAATTGATGGTAATGTTGAGTTCATAAGCACTTGGATCTTGGCATATTGGTACATTTCATTCAATCTTTGCATGAATTTAATGACAAAATCGTTGTCCTGATACCTCTTCATCATTTCATTTGGGGTATTGCAGGGACAACAAGGTATTGGACGATACCTCTTCAAATCCTCCCACAACACAGTAATGTTGGTGAAGTACGGACTTATAGATTGTTCTCCTTGAACACATTTAGTTAACCGACCCTTCAAATCATAAACCCTAATATTGTCCTCCTGGCTAAATATGTTCTTCATATTTTCCCAAACAACCTGAGGACTTTCCAAAGCCATGACACTATTCGCTATATCTTCAACTAAGGAATTATAAATCCAGCAGCGAATAGTACCATTACAATGTATCCATGACTGGTAAGAGGGTTCTGTTACCTTAGGTACTGGTATGGTCCCATCAATGAAGGCGACCTTGTTCTTGGTAGCTAAGGCAACAAGCATCACCTGGCTCCATGTGTGGTAGTTCCCATATACAAGCTTCACAGAAATTATGGTGGACAACGCACCATCTTGAGGTGGAAGGTAGTAGGGATTGAGGTAAGGGTCTTCGTAGGATGAGCTAGCTGAACTCTTGGTAGATTTCCCAGCTATTGACTCTGTTTCTCCAGCCATGATTCCTATAGTTTGTTTTCAAAAATTTATGAGAGAAGAGGGGTGAGAAGAATAGGGGACGAAACCCTAGAGTGGTTGAGAGCAACCAGGCTCTGCTACCACGAGAAGAAATTCTTATCTACGGAATTTGCTCGCTAAGCTGTTTCATTGATGTAAAATCATATATATATATATATAGTGGTTTGAAACTAATCACTGTGGCTTAACGGCTAAATGAAACTAACAAATAAACCTACCAATCAAAGCTATACACGTGTATTATCTACAGTTAAAACGGAATTCAAATTCCTTGGTGAAGAACGCCACCGATTCTGGCTACACTTAAAGCCAAACGTCTCCATTTTGCTCTGCTCCTTGTTCTTCATTTTGTTCTTCGTTTCTGGAGCATAGCTGCACATTCTGGTTGTTGTTGAACAACTCAGATCACCTGAGGGATGATCATCTTGCCTCTCTATTAATGCTGGCGAATCGGACGGAACTGGGGATGTCGGCTAGTCAAAAAGAGCTGGGGATTCGGCAGCGTCAGCGGACTGTTTGGCGACGGTGATTTACTAAGGTTTTGGAATGCGGTGGACCGGGGATTGCGAGGACGCTTGCTGCAATTGTAAGGGATCCGGTGGGAAGTGTGGTTTCAATGATACGGTGACGCGTTCGTTCGTTCGTTTGCTATTGCTCCGATAAAGCTTACGCCTCCGACTATTTGTCGCTTGCCAGTGCTTCGCCGCCGGCAAAAGTGCTCAATGAATTGATTTACCGAGGAGGAGGAGGATTTGATTCGGTAGGGGGGAAACTTTGTTCTACTGTTTAATGGTGGAGGGAATTGGAGGAGGAAGAGCAGAGAAGAAGTGATTGCGAGGAAGGGATGTAGTGTCGGGCGCCTCTTTTAATTTGGTAATTAATAATTATAATAGTTTTTATTTTTTATGGTAAAAATGAGTTGAACATTAAAGTAGATTAAATTTTATTTTATTTATTATTTCTTAATTACCACATCACTAAGTTAACGGTCAACTTTGAGAGTTGACTGCCACATCAGCCAAAGTTAACGGAGTAGGACGGAGAGTGACCAAACGTGAACGGTTTCAGTAAACTGAAGTACCACCAATAGATTTAAATATTTTGAGTGACCAAACTTGAACGTTTTTTGTAATTTCAATGACCAACCATGCAATTAAAACAAATAAAAAGTATCAAACGAGAGGCAACGTATGTGAGTTAAAGTTTTATAGATTCTAATCATATTTTAAGATAATGAAAAAAATATTTTCTTTTGTTAGTTAGGTTACCCATCGGTTATTTTGGTATAATCTTGTCGAATCTCTTGATTAACGATTATCCATTTAACTAGCAAAATAATCGAGAACCGACCATATGACTATGGTTAACCAACTAATATGAACAATAAGCACAAAGAACTTAACAGTTAACCTAAAACCGACTACACAATTCCGATGAAACCGAACCAAACCGATTGCCAGCTCTGACCACTATCCATTTCATTAAGAATCATTCTTAATCTCTTTCTCACAAACTTAGACAATGATGACAACCGTGATTAGTTCCTGAGGGCAATGCATCATTAATTCCAACGCACAGGAAAAGGCATATAATACGAGAAATCCATAGCTCATTTGTAACATAACTAACTTGTAGGCCTATGTGACGAATTACTATCCATATGACAACCTTAAGTCCATAACAATTACTTATGAATACAACATAAGTCAAACATCATACGAAATTAATGTATCAAGCAAATGAAATCACATCCATCAGAATTACACGAAATGATAAATCATGATTGTCAACATAAAAAAACATCACAAACGGAAACATCTAAGCCCCCATATGGCCTGCAAACAACGAATGAGGAGAAGGGTGTCACGGCTGCCCTAACATCTGCTTGTATTCGGCCCACAATTGTTGAACTCCTTTAATTATGTCATAGAACTCGTCCGACCTCGCCCTTAACTGCTCTCGACTCTCTCCGCCAGCGTCAAGTACAGGAGCAATCTTCGTGAATATCTCACGCAACACCTACAAATAAGAAAACCATGTGTTAGTTGCAAATGAACATAATACGACATCAGGATCAATCAACATTTCAATCACAATCACTAACCACATCGCTGTCCACGAACCCTCGTCGATGTCGACTGAGCCTAAGAATTTGAGGGTGTGAGTACTTCTTGTACCACTCCATGTATCCTTCCACCACCTCCCATGGCCTGCTCTGACAAGGCCGAGAACACATGTCCAACCCTAGACTGTGGGATTCTAGGTTATTCCACAATTGTTCCAGGAAGTTATTGTACTTGACAATGTAGCCTGCTGGTAGTTTCAACGGCCAAGGTGGGATCATCTGTTGGTAACCGAATTGTCGAAGGCATCGAGCAGGATAATACACCTCTGACACATCAGCAAACGAGATCACCCCACCACTATACAAGGAACGACGAAGCTTGATATGGGGGGATTGACCATATGGTGTCCAGTCCACCTGTCTGGCTGTCAAGTTGTCAATCGCCTCACGGTAATGATGTACCAAATGATTATCTCTCTTATAGGATGCTAGAGGTGGGATCCCGCGCCACCTAGATGCAAAAGGTTGCCCATCTGGAACATCCCGTGGCTTTAGTTGACTCGGCCTCAAGCTGGGAAAGTGATCATAAATCCAACATTGTAGTAAGGTCAACCAAGCTGCCTGTACAACCATGCAAGTGCTCCAGCCCCCAAGCGTACCCATTCACCAACTCTGGGTTCTTCAAGAACAAGTTGACAACAGCTTTCACACGGTCTTTACTCTTGTCCACGAACAATGTAGACCCCAACAATAACAGAAGGTAACACTGTGCCTCTCGAGACGCTGTCCCGTGCATACGCACATACTGCAACGCCTCATCACCCAACAAACCATGTCCATTGTACCAGGCAGCCCTTTCACGACCTCCAGGCCGCTTTGCACCCATACTTATTTGCCCCTTGGTCATGCCAAGAAGCTCGCACATGTCTACGTCCAGTGTCAGCATCTCCCCAGTGTCCACACTCATCCTTTCTCCGTCTACTGGAACACCAAGGATGTGGTGCACATCATGGAGGAGAATCGTCATTTCTCCAAATGGCATGTGAAAGGTATTGGTGTCTGGCTGCCACCTCTCTATAAAAGCCGAAATGAGAGTAGTGTCCAGCTCCTTGCGGAGCGTAATATCAACTAGGTGAGCCAGCCCTGATTGGCGAACCTTCGCCTCGGCATGCTCATTGCAAAAATTGTACCCCTGGAGGGTGCAGTCAAGTGATTCACTCTTGTGATAGCAAAAGATCACCCCTCGATTCAACGTCCCTGTGTAAAGGCCGTGGGCGACGTGACTACGAAAGGTAGGGATCAACCTCATATCACTAGGTCCACCCGCACACCCCTCTCTAAGCTCCCACGGTTGAGGCTGTTGTTGCCTCCTCCTACATGCTCCTGACTCCTGATAACAAAGAAGTAGAAAGATGGTTTGAAACCCTAGAAGGCTTGCTTGCTTCTCATTCAGAAGTAGCTTAAATAGTATGTTTACATCACAACAAGACAACATAGAACAGCTTGTACACTTCTATGTTCTTTTGCTTAGAAAGGAAATAAAGGCATTCTTGGCAGAGAAGAAAACGATAAACAGTGTTGGTGTGTGGAACGCAACACTTTGGAACAAAACGCTGCACTTTGACAATATTGGTTTCCTCCTTCAAATGTGGAAAGTTGACTCCAAAGGTCAAAATCAATTCTGATTTTGATTCTCCTGCTCTGTTATCCCCCCGCAAGCTGGTGGGCACAAATTGTGCACACCAAGCTTGGAAAGAAGAAGTCGAAAGGGAGCTGGTGAGAGAGGCTTTGTAAAAAGATCTGCGAGCTGGTGGGAAGAGGAAACGTGAAGAAGCTTGAGGGTCTTGTTCAGTATCTTCTCGCGCACCAAGTGACAATCGAGTTCGATGTGCTTGGTGCGCTCATGAAAAGTCGGGTTTTGAGCGATGTAAATCGCACTCTGGTTATCGCAGTACAGAGTAGCTGGTTGAGAGTGAGGAACCTGGAAGTCGTCAAGAAGATAGCACAGCCATTGGATTTTGCAGGCTGTGAAAGCAAGCGCTCGATATTCCGCCTCGCAAGAGGAGCGAGAGACAGTCTTCTGCTTCTTGCATTTCCAGGAGATAATCGAGTCACCAAGATAGATGCAATAACCAGAGATGGATCGACGAGAATCCACACAAGCCGCCCAGTCCGAGTCAGTGAAGCCTTTCAATTGAAAAGAACCCTTGCTGGGGAAGAAGAGACCAGTCGTGGGAGCCGATTTGAGGTAACGCAATATCCTTTCTACTGCTTTGTAGTGAATGGTACTAGGGTTGGACATGAACTGGCTGACCTGCTGTGTAGCATAGGAGATGTCAGGCCTGGTAGTGGTCAAATAGATTAATTTTCCAACCAAGGTTCTGTAAAGCTCAGGGTCATGAAATGGGGTTGAACATTCTGAACTGAGGTGTAGCTTGTAATCCATTGGGGTCGAAACTGTTTTGGAATCGAGCAAATGAGCTTCTTCAATTATCTCCAATGTATATTTCCTTTGAGAAAGATGGATTCCAGTCGTGTTTCTTGCAACCTCAATGCCTAGAAAATAGCGTAAAGAACCCAGGTCTTTAATGCTAAAAGCTGAATGAAGAGAGGCCTTTAATCTGCTGATTTCTGATAGATCATTTCCACCCACCAGTAGGTCATCAACATAGATCAATATAGCAGTATAAGAAGTGTCAGTCACTCTGAAGAACAAAGAGTGATCTGCCTTGCTCTGTATATAACCCTCAGTAGTCAGATGCTCATGTAGTTTTGAAAACCATTGCCTGGAAGCCTGTTTGAGGCCATAGATAGATTTCCTTAGACGACAGACTGGATTTTTGAAACCAGGAGGTGGAGTGTATCCCTTAGGCAGAGTCATATATACCTCTTCTTCTAGATCACCATGTAAAAATGTATTATTCACATCTAAATGGTGAATATGCCAGTTTCTGAGGGCTGCAACAGCCAAAAAAGTCCTGACAGTGGTCAGTTTAATAACAGGAGCAAAAGTGTCCTGAAAATCAATCCCCTCTTGCTGAGTGTTGCCTTTGGCAACCAACCTTGCTTTGAAACGATCTAGAAGGCCAGTAGGTTGCAATTTAACCTTGTAAACCCATTTGTTACCAATGGGTTTCTTCCCTGGGGCAGTTCCACAATGTCCCATGTGTGGTTTTTACTCAAAGCTTGAGTCTCAAGCTGCATAGCAGAATTCCATTCATCAGAGAGGGATGCCTCTTTGTATGTATTTGGCTCATGATAGGAAGAGATATTTAGCAAAAAATTTCTGTGATGGGGAGCCAAATTAGCATAGGAGGGGACAGAAGAAAGAGAGTACCTTGTCTTAGGAGCCTGAGGTGCAGAGGATGAAGTGGAACAACCAGACTGTTGGAGGAGGTAGCAGTGATAGTCTTTGGTGAGGTGAGTTGGTGGTTTAGAGGGACGAGTTGACTTTCTGATTGGGTTTGGGGGAGGGGGTAGTGGTGGTTGAGAAACAGTGGGAGAAGAGGATTGTGGTGGTTCTGGTGAGGATGCAGAAGGGTTAGGATCTGTATTGTTGGGTGGTGATTCTGGGTTATCAAGAGGGGTAGAGGGTGGAGGAGTAAATGGTGGTTCTGAAGAAAGGACTTGCTGTGGTGAAAAGGAAGGTGATGTATCATCATCTGAATAAGTTGGATTAGGTAAGGGAAACATGTCTTGTGTAGGAATGTCAAGGGAAGGAGGAACATCACTGCTGTTAGGGTGTTTGAATGGAAAATGATCTTCATAAAAAAATCACATCTCAAGAGATGAAAGTATCATGTGAAGCTAAGTCATAAATTTTATAACCCTTAATTCCTGAGAAATAACCAAGAAAGATCCCTTTTCTAGCCCTCGGTTGAAACTTTGTTCTATGGTTGCCTAGGGTGCTAGCATAGCAAAGACAACCAAAAACCTTTAAGTCTGAAAGATCTGGGGGTTTGTTGTGAAGGACCTCAAAGGGAGTTTTGTTTGAAAGAATGGATGTTGGGACCCTGTTAATCAAGAAAACAGCATGTTTCACACAATCCCCCCAAAATCCAGCTGGCAGATTAGCTTGGAATTTTAAAGCCCTAGCAACTGATAGAATATGTTAGTGTTTTCTTTCCACCTTACTGTTTTGCTGAGGGGTCTCAATGCAGGTTATCTCATGGATGATTCCTGTGGAAGCAAAAAAATCAGCCATGTGGAATTCTTTCCCTTGGTCTGATCTAATTCTTTTAATACTGGTTTGGAATTGCCTTTCTGCCTGTTTGCAAAAGGAGATTAATTTGGGTCTAGCTTCAAATTTAAGGGTCAATAGAACAATCCAAGTAACACGAGAATAATCATCAACAATTGTTAAAAAATATTTGTAGCCATCAAAGGAAGGAACAGGGTTAGGGTCCCATATATCCACATGAAGAAGTTCAAATGGTTTAGTTGTTACAGACTGGCTAACAGGAAAAGAAAGTCTCCTTTGCTTAGCAAAGTGACAAACATCACAGGGTCTATCTCTATGAGTTTCAATGGAGGTGCAAAATTGAGAGAGGAATGGCACTTTGGAATGGGAAACATGACCCAACCTGAAGTGCCATAAATCAAAAGAGGTTGCCCTAGCAGTAGTGATGAATTTAGGATTAGAGTCTATATCTAAGAGGTAAAGGCCATTAGACAGTCTAGCAGAACCACTCATGCTCTTCAGCCTCAAGTCCTGTATAAGACAAAAGTCAGAGTAGAAGGTTAAACAGAGAGAATTATTGGTGGTGAGCTTGCTTACTGATATTAGGTTGAAAGTAAAATTTGGGACAAAGAGAACATCTTTGAGAATGAGGTTCTCATTGCAAGCAGTGGAGCCAATGTGAGTGGCTTGGAGCTGTTGACCAGTAGGGAGAGTGATAAAAATGTCTGTGATTGGTTTAGAGTTTTGTAACAAATCTAAGGAACAAACAATATGGTCAGAGGCACCCGTATCAACAATCCAGGTGGTGTGAAGTTTGGAGGCTGTGGAATGTAGAGGGACTGATAGAAGATATTTACCTGAATTGGCAAATGACTTAGTGTAGGCTGCAGCAGTAAAGGAAGGACCAGATCCCTTTGATGAATTCATGAGACTCATTAGCTTATCATAGTCTGCCTTTGTGAGCTTAACTTCATGTTCTTCTTGATCAGTAGAGACAGAATTAGCAAACTGCTTGCCTTTGCCCTGCACAGCCTGATTGCGAGGTGGAAAAGTATGGCCTTGTCGTTTGGAGTATGTGCATTCAAGCACTCTGCCCTGAGTAGATGGAGCGGATCTGGTCATCCCAGGAGGCCAGCCGTGTTTATGGTAACAGATCTCTTTTGTATGGCCATCTCTTTTGCAATAAGTACAATAGGGTCTCTTAGGGTTTGAACCAGGACGTCGATTAGGACCTTGAGCACTGAGTACAGTAGGATCAGAAGTAACAGTAGCAACAGTTTTGCCCCTTTGAGTACCATAAAGTTGTCTTTCATGTTGAAGCATTCTTTGAAAGACACGATTGATAGTTGGCAGCTCATCACCAAATAAAACTTGTGATCTAACAGTCGAAAAATTCTCATTTAAACCACGCAAGAACTTGATAACATAATTGGTGTCATGGTATTCATAAACCCTCTTAATAGCTCTGCAATCTCTGTGGCTTGTGGGTGTACAGCCACAAGCAAGAAGTGGTTGGTAATTATCGAGTTCATCCTTTAGAGTGATGACTCGATCATAATACTCAGTAATTGTGTCATTACCTTGTTTCAGGTTGGAAAGAGCTTCCTCAATCTCTGCAACGCGAATGATGTCACCAGCACCATATCGGGATTGCAGGCTTCTCCAGGCTTCAAAAGCAGTCTTGCTGGACAGGATAGTCTTTCTTATCTCTGGCTCAACAGCTTGCTGGATCCAGCTCAGGATCATGCCGTTGTTGCGCATCCAAATGCCTCTGAGTGGATCTGATTCTCCAGGTTCGAGGATGGAACCATGGATGAACCCCAGTTTGTTCTTCGCAGCCAAGGCATTGAGCATGCCTCGACTCCAGTCGTTGTAGTTGGTCGTATTGAGTTTCTCAGCAACCAACAAAAGACCAGGTTGCTCAGATCCGTGGAGGTAGAAAGGATCCTCCAGCTGGTAATGTGGTGCAGGCAGCGGATCTGTGGTAGCATTGGCATTCTGTTGATGATCTGTGTGTTGTGTAGCAGTAGTATTGTCTTGAGTTTGATCAGCCATGGTGGCGGCGGCAACAGAGCTTTGTTAGGGCTCTGATACCATAACAAAGAAGTAGAAAGATGGTTTGAAACCCTAGAAGACTTGCTTGTTTCTCATTCAGAAGTAGCTTAAATAGTCTGTTTACATCACAACAAGACAACATAGAACAGCTTGTACACTTCTCTGTTCTTTTGCTTAGAAAGGAAATAAAGGCATTCTTGGCAGAGAAGAAAACGATAAACAGTGTTGGTGTGTGGAACGCAACACTTTGGAACAAAACGCTGCACTTTGACAATATTGGTTTCCTCCTTCTTCAAACGTGGAAAGTTGACTCCAAAGGTCAAAATCAATTCTGATTTTGATTCTCCTGCTTTGTTACCTGACCCCATCGGGGAACTGAGTAGTTGCGCCCCCCATTGTCATTATAAACCCCGACGGCAGCATGTGTCGTCACTCTAGGTCCTCCGCCAGTCTGAGGATCGAACCGTGGGAGGGGCTCCTCCTCAAAATCATCTGACTCATATTCCCTAGAACTATCATCGAACTCCCATGACTGTTCAGATGGAGAAGTGGTTGTATCCCTCTCAAGGTTCTGGCGCGAATTCCGTCCACTAGCCACTCCACCAGGGGAATGAAAGTTAAACTGCGGGAAGCCGTCTGCCCTTAAAACCTGGCGTGGCTGTGTCTGTGGTTGCTCCCCCTCATTATGCCTTGGTTTCTTCTTATTCTCACCTCCTCCTGGTTTCTTCTTATTCTCACCTCCTCCCCGTACCGACGCCATCTCTAAACAATACAAGTTAACAATATTAACATACGTATTAAATACAAAAATTTATGCAATCTAAGTTCATACCTATTGTTACAGAACATATGGTCTTAAGACTTGAGCACTAGGCCTACTCATTAAGCTTTTGGTAGTAAGGCTTAATCATATTCTTAGCAATGCCCTTCATTCATTTAGGCTGTGACAGGAAAAATATTTGGATTAACACGCATCGACATCTTTTAAATTTCCAGCTTCAATTTTAAACTTGATCATCAATCTACTAACCTACTCACAACCAGCAACTCTGAACCAATCAATGACCCCAATCCAAGAGTTACAACACTTACCGAGGCTCAAAGGGTGCTGGTACTTCTCTCGTAATCAAGCACGGGATATGAGCACTTCTCGCCCTCTGGTAATCTACAAAATCATCCATACAGACTTATGGCCCGTTCACTTGCCATTCCATTTTTTATATATGCCACAACAGAAAACAAAATAAAATGAAAACGAAACTATCATTTTCTGCAAAACAAAACCTGCAGAAAACGTGTTTAGCTGAGAATTTTGGTGAGTTCTGAAACTGAATTCTGAAAAGATAAACCTATTTAGTTACTTCCTACTGTTTTCTGGTAATTGATTATCACAATTTTTTTCATTGAGTATCTTACAATTCTAATCATAATTATAATTTTTAATATGAATGACATTATTTTCAAAGTACTAATAAACACAATACAAGTATAACATCATATGTCGAATAAGTCCCTTTATTGCCCTCATTGTACTTCATTGACATTCTCTTTCATGCAATAATGTCGATACTCTTCAAATAAAGTATCGTAATTGAAGTATTGTTTTCCACCTCATTACCATCCATTACTTATCAAACTATAATTCAAACAATAAAGGCATCTACATATCCCAACCAAACCCACCGCCCAAAAAAGGACTCCAAATACACCAATCACCTAGGCTGATCTAAACCCACCCTTCCCATTAGTCACAGAAACTGAACCTGCATTGGCAATTCCCAGGGAACCCTTCTCAGGAAACCCGCCATCCAGCATTCCAGCTCACTATCCCCTTTCACCCTCTGCCTCAAGTTCACATTCCTACTGCTATTGCTCTTGTCAAAATCACCACCTACTTTCAGTTGCTCATCAGTAGTCGGATCTTAGTCCTCAAATCGACAGTTATTGCTCTAAGTGGATTTGTAACAACTCAACTAATTATACAAGTTAGGAACAAACAAGAAATAACCTCAGAAGGAAATCTTTCATGGAGGCAATATGTTCTGTTCCTACACAAGGCAAAGTTGGAAGAGGACTAACCTCAAGCAGAGGAGATCGTCGATGCTGCTGGGGAGCGGGAAGGCCGGCTGTTTCGACGCTGCTGGAGGAAAGGATTCGTCCGATGGAGAGGCTCGAACGAATCGTCGGGTGGAGGAGGGAGATGGCGACTGGCTGTAGGTTCTCTTCGACGGTGGAGAATCGCGTCGCTGCTGCTTGATTTCGCCGGCTGGAGGAAGGATTCGCCTTCGCTGCTTCCTGTTGCAGACACGGTCGTCGCTGTGCTTCTCTTCTCAGGCGCGGGAGAGGGATCGAGTTTAGCTGCTCGTAGGGTTTTACTTTTAGTGGGCAAAACGGCGGCATTTAGGAAAACAGGAGATAAGCAAAAAAGATTGTCGCTGGCAGGGATCGAACAAACGACCTCATTAATGAGCCGTGTCAATTTTCCACAAGGAAACGGGGAATAACCCGTCCCATTGTTTCCAGGAAACGACTTTTAATGGTTTCCTTCTAGCTTCCTCATTTATACCAAATGAATTTTTCCAACGAACACAAAACTACAAGTGAACACGTTTCTTATAATTTGTTTCTTGATTTTCATTTTTACAACAGAAAACAGAAAATAAAATGGGAAGTGAACGGGGCACAAGGTTGTCGACCCAGACCCGATGAGAAAAACGGGTCGTACACACCCGTCGGGTCGATCACTACAAGGTACAGGATTAGAGGTCAACTAGTATCATTATTTTTATTTGAGAAATGCGCCTATTTTCTTATTTTTCTTTTCACCTAGCTCAATATTTGAAATACTTAATTGAACATTTGAATATTCAATATTGATGTAATATAAGTATGTGTGAATTTTCACTATATGTTGGATCTAAATACAACATGTTACTTTAGTGTAATTTTATATATTATTATTCATATGTTAGATTAGATTTGATATAATCTATGAGGATAAGTATACTATAATAATTATTTCCATATTTCCAGACTAAAACGGGCGACTCATTAACCCTTGACCCACTAGGTCGATCGGGTTCGGGTCAACCCGCAGGTTGACAACCTTGGTGAAAATTAATTTCCCACTCTCTTCAATTCTGCGTCCCGAGTCCCGACCCTAAAGTAAAACAACAAAAAAGGCCGAGTAGGAATGGCAATGGGGCAGGTCCGGGGCGGGTTTCTTGGTACCCAGACCCACCCCGTGGCAGGTCGGGTCCAGGTTGGGTAATTGATCTCGGGTCACGGGTCGGGGCAGGTCGACCCAATGGGTATGCAATTTATATTAAAACATTAGCAATATTCGTTATTTTTATTATAAGACTAAGAAAACAAACAATATTATGACAATTGTAGTTAAATTATTGGAGAAATTGAGGTTTTCACTAATTTACAACTTTCTTATAGCTAAAAATATGATACAATAAAAGGAAAATCCTAAGTAATTCGACTAAGATTACATGTAATTTAGACAAGAACGGGTCGAGAATGGGGCGGGTCAGGGCGGGTCAGGTCGATGAAAAGCGGTTGCTTGACCTAAAAGCGTAAAACCGTAAGCTTTTAAGTTTTAAAACGTAGATTTTGACTACATTTATAAGGAAAAATTACGATTCTACGTGGAAGTGTTTTGGTGACCCAAAAAGGTAAAAGTGTAAGTTTTTAAGTTTTAAAGCGCGATTTTGACTGCATTGCATTTGATAAACAAAAGCAAGAACCAAGCAAATTGCGGTTCTTCTGATTGAATCGGTTAAACCCTTGATCAGATACAACTTGGTGGCTCTACTCTGGAATCGGGGAGAGCAGAGGTCAAATATTTCTACACAAACGTGCCAAAAGTTTTATGCAAGTAAAAACTGGATCCAATCCATCTAAACTAAAATAACAAGCGATCCTGATACATGTCAAGAGCCTGGATGACCTTCTTGATGAACAGTTTCCGGTGCAGTCGATACCTGTAGGTAGTGTTGCAGGGTTCAACATGGTTAAATCTTCCAAGTTTAACAGCAAAAGGTTGTAAATAATTACTACCAGAAGAACCTACTTGATTGCGGCTTCGAGCGTTCTCCTGGGTTCTGACATTGAATCTGTTTTGTGCAATATAAGCAAATGACATCAGTAAACAGAAGCAGAACAAGAAACAGACACTGCCTACTAGGACCTATTCTGCATGAATCATTGAAACATTTACCTAGCATCTTCTGATCTTGCTCGGATGTAGTGGGGTATTTAGCAAGCATCTGACGGCATTCTTCTTGCAATTCCTTGAAAGCTCTCCTTTCTGAGCTGGGAACGGGGGGCAGATCTCCGTCTGACCAAGTGGGCAGTGTTCTTGCTGCTGCTAAGACTGTGTTGTGCCCTCCTCATGTGGTAGAGAAGAGGCCAACAAGGTTGGCGGTGGAAATTGATTAAAAAAAAACAAAATTTAAATTGAGGGAGGAGATGACGGTTGGCAATCCAACCACTATAATTAATCACCTCTTCCTTGTTAGCCTATAAAAGGCAGAGGCAGTAGCCTCAAAACATGATCCCTCACCATTCCATTATTCTCCATTTCCTTTGCTCTGCTTCTGTTCGTATTTCTTTTGTGGGTTTTTTGATAGCGAAACGTTTTCACTGCCACGGGTAGATAGGAGATTTCCTTGTGAGTGAAATAGTGAGGTTGTTTGGGAAACACCGTGTGTTCTATTTCTTGTATCGAGAAAATCTCTGTAACCTACCATTGTTATAGTAAAGAAATACTCCGGAGTTGCTGTTCCCGTGGACTGGCCCAAAATCAGGGTATACCACGTAAGTCCTCGGTGTCATTTATTATTATCTATGCTTGTTGTTATTTTGAGAATAGTCGTAGTATATTGCATTATTAAATTACCGAAGTAAATTGATCTAAGTAAGTTGGTTACCGTAATTCTGGAGGCTCTGCCACCAGGTCCAACTTACCTGTGAACTTTTTACAAGCGTGTGATTTCTTAGTGCAATATATTTACCCGCTATTCTCACCCGTTGCGCCCAACAAGTGGTATCAGAGCCACGTCCAATGGAGGCAAAAACAAGCAAGATGATAAGTCTGAATGGATCAAACTATCACATATGGAGAAACAAGATGAAGGATCTCCTACTCGTGACGGAGTTGCATTTGCCGGTGTTTAGCCCAACTAAACCTGATGGCAAAACTGAAGAGGAATGGGAGTTCAAGCATGAGCAAGTATGTGGCTACATTCGACAGTTCGTCGACGATAATGTATACAACCACATTAGCGGAGAAACTCATGCCAGAACTCTGTGGAACAAGCTGGAGGCACTCTATGCATCAAAGACCGGCAACAACAAATTATTTTATCTGACCAAGTTGGTCCAGATGAAATACAAAGAAGGCAAATCCTTGGCAGATCACTTGAACGAAATTCAAGGGATCGTGGATCAGTTGTCCGGTATGGGCATAAAGATGGAAGATGAGGTGGTCGCTCTCCTCGTTCTGGCTTCCCTTCCAGAATCTTGGGAGACGCTAAAAATTTCACTTACCAACTCTGCGAAAGATGGTGTTATCAACATGGAGATCGTCAAAAGTGGGGTTCTAAATGAAGAGATGCGGAAAAGATCACAAGGTGCATCCTCATCATCTTCCCAGTCAGACCTTTTGGCGGTGGATTCCAGAAGCAGAGGAAGAAGTGAAGCGAGAGGCTCGAAGCAAAGAGGCAAGAGTCGAGGGAAGTCCAACAAGTTTGCCAACATCAATTGTCATCACTGCAAGGAAAAGGGCCACATCAAAAGATTTTGCCCAAAGTTCATAAACGAGAGAAGGAAGGGCAAACGAGATGAGAACAGTGATGATGATGGTGCAAACTCTGTTGATGAGTTCAATATTGTCTACGAGGAAGATGTTGTCAACCTAACAACCCAGGAGACAAGCTGGGTGGTTGATAGTGGTGCTACCATTCACGTGACGTCCAAGAGAGAATTTTTCTCATCTTACACACAAGGTGACTTTGGTGTGGTAAGAATGGGAAATGGCAACCTTTCCAAAGTTATTGGAAAAGGAGAAGTATGCTTGGAGACGATGAATGGTACGAAGCTACTGCTGAAGGATGTCAGGCATGTTCCAGAAATGCGCCTGAATCTCATCTCTGTAGACAAGTTGGACGAGGAAGGTTACTGCAACACCTTCCACAATGGCCAGTGGAAACTCACCAGAGGCTCCTTGGTGTTGGCCAAGGGCAAGAAGCTGTCAAACCTGTATGTGACGGAAGCCAAGATCTCCCCAGATATTGTCAACTCAGCGGAGAATGGTGACACAATTGAATTGTGGCACAAACGGCTCGGTCACATGAGTGAGAAGTCCATGGCAAAGTTGGCACAGAATAAAGTCATAGTTGGGTTGGATCATGTTCATTTAAAGAAGTGTGTTGATTTCCTGGCGGGAAAGCAAAACAAGGTTGCTTTCAAAAGTTCCATCCTTTCAAGAGCGAAAAACGTGTTGGATCTAGTTCACTCAGATCTTTGTGAACCCGATGTCAATGTCAAATCACTTGGAGGTGCCAGATATTTCGTGACATTCATTGATGACCATTCACGGAAGACTTGGGTGTATACCTTGAAGACCAAGGATCAGGCCCTAGATGTTTTCAAGCAATTCATGGCCCTGGTAGAGAGGGAAACTGGCAAGAAGCTGAAGTGCATCCGGACTGACAATGGTGGAGAGTACAGAGGTCCGTTTGCTACCTTCTGCAAGGAACATGGAATTCGGCATCAATTCACACCACCAAAGACGCCGCAATTGAATGGGCTAGCTGAGAGGATGAACAGGACCCTGCTAGAGAGAGTCAGGTGCTTGTTATCACACTCGAAGCTACCACAATCTTTCTGGGGGGAGGCACTGCTTGCAGCAGTTTATGTGTGGAACAGGTCACCCAGTGTGCCACTGAAGTATGACGCCCCAGAGAAGGTGTGGACAGGAAAAGAAGTTTCCTACAAACATTTGCGGGTGTTTGGTTGCAAGGCCTTTGTCCATATTCCAAAGGATGAAAGGTCAAAGTTGGATTCAAAGACGCGACCGTGCGTATTCATTGGCTATGGTCAAAATGAGTTTGGCTATAGATTCTTTGATCCAATCCAGAAGAAGCTTATCAGAAGCCGTGATGCTGTGTTCATCGAAAATGAGACCATCGAAGATGTTGTTGCTAGGAAAGAAATTCCTAGTACTGATGCTAGTCAGCCAAACCTTGAGCTAGTGCCTCCAACACCAGCGCCTACAGAAGTTGGAGAAGAAGCACAACATGATCAGCCTGAGATAGTTGAACCATATGCCCATGTGGAGGTTCAACCAGAAGATGCTGATGACGATGGTCAACCACCAGCCATAGAAGGTTCTCCTGTTCGAACAACAAGATCTGGTAGAATTTCACGACCGTCTACCAGATATCCCGAGACTGAATACGTCTCACTTACTGACGGCGGAGAACCAGAAAGCTTCACAGAAGCTATGAATGATGAACACAAGCAAAGCTGGATAGAAGCCATGCAAGACGAGATGGATTCCTTGTATGAGAACAACACATTTGAGCTGGTGAAGTTGCCAAAAGGCAAGAGAGCTTTGAAGAACAAGTGGGTGTTCAAGATCAAACATGATGAACACAACCGTCAGCCACGCTTCAAAGCCAGACTAGTTGTGAAAGGCTTCAGTCAAAGGAAAGGCATTGACTTTGACGAGATATTTTCACCTGTGGTGAAAATGACATCCATTCGTACTGTGCTGGGACTAGCAGCAAGTCTTAACCTGGAGGTTGAGCAAATGGATGTGAAGACTGCCTTCCTTCATGGTGATTTGGAGGAAGAGATTTACATGGAGCAACCAGAAGGCTTCAAGAAGAAGAACAAGGAGGGATATGTGTGCAGGCTCAGAAAGAGCTTGTATGGCTTAAAGCAGGCACCAAGGCAATGGTACAAGAAGTTTGAGTCTGTTATGGGGGAGCAAGGCTACAAGAAGACTACTTCAGACCACTGCGTGTTCGTGAAGAAATTTCCTGATGGAGATTTCATCATACTTTTGCTCTATGTGGATGATATGCTAATTGCTGGGCAGAACATCTCAAAAATCAATGATTTGAAGAAGGAGTTGAGCAAGTCTTTTGCCATGAAAGACTTGGGACCAGCAAAGCAGATTCTTGGCGTGAGGATCATTCGTGATCGAGGTGCCAAGAAGATATGGTTGTCACAAGAAAAGTATATTGAGAAAGTACTTCAACGTTTCAACATGGATAATGCTAAGGCAGTTAGCTGTCCTCTTGCTAACCACTTTACATTGACATCCAAACAGAGCCCGTCTACCGAGAAGGAAATGACGGAGATGGATAAAATCCCATATGCTTCAGCAGTGGGAAGTTTGATGTACGCCATGGTGTGTACAAGGCCAGATATTGCTCATGCAGTTGGAGTTGTCAGTCGATTTCTTTCCAAACCAGGAAAGGAACATTGGGAAGCTGTGAAGTGGATCCTCAGATACCTTCGAGGTAGCTCCAAAATGAGTATATGTTTTGGAGATGGTGCACCTGTCATTGTTGGCTATACAGATGCTGACATGGCAGGTGATGTTGATTCGAGGAGGTCCACTTCTGGGTACCTGATTACCTTATCAGGGGGAGCAATATCGTGGCAGTCAAGGCTACACAAAGTGTGTAGCTCTTTCCACAACAGAAGCTGAGTATATAGCAGTAACGGAAGCATGCAAGGAGATGATATGGATGAAGAAGTTCCTAAATGAACTTGGGTTCCTACAGGAACGACCGCAGTTGTTCTGTGACAGTCAAAGTGCTATTCATCTTGCGAAGAATGCTTCATTTCATGCTCGATCAAAACATATTGATGTCCGATATCACTGGATCCGAGATGTGCTTGAAATGAAACAGCTACAACTGGAAAAGATCCATACCGACGAAAATGGATCTGACATGTGTACCAAGACCCTTCCAAGAGAAAAGTTTGAGTCTGTCGATCCGCTGCAGGGATGATGAATTCGCCCATGTAGTCGGGCGGGGGAGAATTGTTGTGCCCTCCTCATGTGGTAGAGAAGAGGCCAACAAGGTTGGCGGTGGAAATTGATTAAAAAAAAAACAAAACTTAAATTGAGGGAGGAGATGACGGTTGGCAATCCAACCACTATAATTAATCACCTCTTCCTTGCTAGCCTATAAAAGGCAGAGGCAGTAGCCTCAAAACATGATCCCTCACCATTCCATTATTCTCCATTTCCTTTGCTCTGCTTCTGTTCGTATTTCTTTTGTGGGTTTTTTGATAGTGAAACGTTTTCACTGCCACGGGTAGATAGGAGATTTCCTTGTGAGTGAAATAGTGAGGTTGTTTGGGAAACACCGTGTGTTCTATTTCTTGTATCGAGAAAATCTCTGTAACCTACCATTGTTATAGTAAAGAAATACTCCGGAGCTGCTGTTCTCGTGGACTGGCCCAAAATCAGGGTATACCACGTAAATCCTCGGTGTCATTTATTATTATCTATGCTTGTTGTTATTTTGAGAATAGTCGTAGTATATTGCATTATTAAATTACCAAAGTAAATTGATCTAAGTAAGTTGGTTACCATAATTCTGGAGGCTCTGCCACCAGGTCCAACTTACCTGTGAACTTTTTACAAGCGTGTAATTTCTTAGTGCAATATATTTACCCGCTATTCTCACTCGCTGCGCCCAACAGACTGCTCCATCCACGAAACTCCCCTCACTTCCAGATAGCTCATCTACCGTTCAGAGTGGATCAGCCAAGAGAAACGAGAATCAGTATTTTGGATTCTATATCCACTGAGAATGCAGAACTGTGGAGAAAGAACCAAGATTTCTTACCGTTGTGATAGTATTCATCAGCAAGCCCTTATATGTTGAAGATGGACAAAAAGGAATCCAAATGAATTCGAGCATTGCCAGAGAACTGAATCTCATCCCAAGGATTCTGCAATAATTTGTTTCGATCCTGTTAGTAGTTTTGATCATTTTGTTATGTCTTTTTAAGGGTTAAAAGGGCAGCTTACTTACCACCGGTGATGAGAAGTCGTATCTTTCCATGAACATGTTATTCTTCTGCTGTGGCATGTAGTTAACAGTCATCTGAGAATGTTAAGAAACAAAACCCAAGCATTAAAATATTAAAGAGTGGTTGCTTGTTTGTCACTCAAACTCAGGCAACATGTAGAGAAAACAGAAAAGACAATTAACACCGAGCAGCATATGTAATAAACAAAATCAACCAGGCATTCCGTGGTGGACTCTAAGTAATATTCAGAGACTTTTCTGTTTAGAGTTCAACAAAAGGATAATACTATTCCAAATTTAAGTAGTACCTCCTCTCCTTTTCTGATTTCTTGCCCTGCATTTATCATCACTTCCAGCATTCGATCTTTGAATCGCCAATGGAAGAAGCAGTTGGGCTCTGGTGAATGGTTTAACATATCTGCAAATATTTACCACACGAAAATCCATGCTTTAAAAGACTGCAACAGTTATGCAGAATAGAATACACCTCCAAAGGTATGGGAGCTGAACAAAAACGAAAAAATCACACCAAAACGTGCATGCATCTAGGTTTTCCCACTCAATGATTTCAGAGTTGATTAACTTTCGAAAAAGTCTGTACCCCATTAGGCAGCAAAAACTGAAGACTCATGAAGCAGCTTAACTACATTATATTTCAGTCATACAAAAAAAATCAACTTGGTCATAACATCACTACAGGATTGCACGATCAAGTTGAAGACTTGTCGGAAATTCATATCGAAAGATGGGCGTGATCAAAGAGCCAGAATGTTACCAGCATAAGGTACAAGCATATTTGCATCTTGAACTAGAGCGCCAACCCTCATTTGAATGTTAATGCATCGTGATTGGGCTATGCCAAGTGCCCAAAAGAATCTCTCGGGTTCACGGGCAAGACGCTTTATCTTGAGTGGAACGCCACTATGCTGTGGGATTGAAGAGGCAAACAGTTTGTTATTGAAGCGAGATATATATGAAGAAGGTATAAACAACTAACTTAGAAGTAGTTAAAAACTTTGTGAGATAGTGGTTCGTCCTACCCAGTTCTTTTCCCAAAATTCAAAAGCTCGAGATTGCTGTTTTCTCATAGCTGATGCAAGATCCTCGTCCTGCAGCTCCAAAAGATCATCCTACATATGTATAGAGGATCATGGGACAGAAACAAGGTCAGTGGACTTCTGCTCGAGCAAGAATAAGAGCAGAGAAACTGCAGGTAAGGAACAGCTGAGTGAACTAAAGAAAAAGGACATGATACATGATATTAGGCATGGTACTATTCTAATTTATAAGTTTAGGAGTGAAAAAATGTTAGGATTCAATTTTGGGTTGTACACCGTGGGAACCTGGTGCGACTTGAAATTCTATTCTGCTTTATAGTCATAATGTCTCCCTTATTGTTCGTTCTATGCACGGAGGGGTTTGCTGCCCTTTTGAGGAAAGCCATAACTGAGAAGAAGCTTCAGGGAGTTAAAGTGGCGCCCCGGGCCCCTCGAATCTCACACCTGTTCTTTGCGGATGACTCCTATTTATTCCTTCGTGGGTCTCTTCAGGAATGTGAGAATTTGATTACAGTCCTGAATGAGTATGAGGAGCTGAGTGGTCAGAGGGTCAATCTAGCTAAATCGGCAGTTTGTTTTAGCAAAAACATTGTCAGCGCTGATCAGGAATTCCTGGGCCAGGTGCTGGGTGTGGGGGCGATTGGAGTTCATGATAAATATTTGGGGTTGCCGTCTCTTATAGCCCGGTCTAAGATGGAGACGTTTCGTTATCTGGAGGAGAAGTTGCTAGCTCGGCTACAGGGCTGGAAGCAGCGTACCTTGTCATGGGAAGCTAAGGAGACCTTAATCAAGTCAGTGGCCTTGGCATTACCCTTGCATGTTATGTCGTGCTTCAAGCTCCCTCTCTCTCTTTGCCGTCTCCTGGATAGGCATGTTGCCCGTTTTTGGTGGGGGTAGAGAATGGGCATGATAAGGTGAGGTGGATGTCTTGACGGAATATGTGTTGTAGTAAGCATGAAGGAGGAATGAGATTTAGGCGTTTTGAGCATTTCAATCAGGCGCTGTTGGCTAAAATTGGATGGCAAATCTTAAGTGAGCCGGAGTCGTTGTTAGCCCAGGTGTATAAGGGGAAGTATTTTCCAAGAAGTGGGTTTCTAGAGGCTAAGGCGAGATCCCGGCCGTCCTGGGGGTGGCATAGTATCCTGTTTGGCCGCCAATTGTTGAGCCAGGGCCTTCGCTGGCAAATTGGGAATGGACAAATGGCTCATCTCCTGCTGAGCAGTTGGATCCCGGGCTTACATCCGTTGGTTCCTACGTTTAATCCCTGTGTCCTGCCTGCTGATGGGGACCTGCGGGTTGCGTCTGTTATCAATAGTGTGGAGGGATCCTGGTGTGACTTGGGGTTGGCCCGCTGGTTTGACCCTCAAACTTGCCGGCTCATTAAGGAGATTCCTCTCGCACGAGGCAATGTTGAGGATCGGCTTGTTTGGCATGGCACGCAGGATGGTGTTTTCACAGTGAAATCAGCTTACCACCTCGCGGTCCAGATGGATAGGAAGGAGGGTCGGTGGCGTTCTTCGGCCAGCTGGATGGATAGGTCGAGTTGGATTCGTGTCTGGGAGGCCCCTGTTCCCCCGAAGTTAAGGGTTTTCCTCTGGCAACTACTAAATAGACTCCTTCCTACTACTGAAGCTCTAAGAGAGAGGAAGATTCCAGTTCACCCTCGGTGCCCAGTCTGCTGGCCGGCTTCTGAAACTTTGGAACACCTCTTCCTGGAATGCCCTGTGGCGCGTGCTCTCTGGGATTATGCAGGGTTGGAGTATTTGGGTCAGGGGTTGCCTCGACATACTTTCCCGTTGTTTCTGAAAAGATTGTTGTCTATCATCCGCCAGGACCATTTATTCATGGCAGTCGTGGCTGTCCTGTGGCGAATTTGGCGGTCCCGGAATTGGGTTGTTTTTGAAGGGAAGCAGTTTGGGATACCAGCTCTGCTGCGACAATATCACCAGCAGTATCAGGAGTGGATTGGTTTGCCGGGTTGTAGATCTCAGGGGTGGTCCTGTCTCTCAGAAAGAGGAGGTTCCTCATTGCCCTATGATCTGCTCTTGGGATGGGGCTACTTTGGCATCATCCCACTCAGCTGGAGGAATGGTTGTGAAGAATCACGTAGGGGACATTCTTATTGCTAGAGGCTTCCAGTTTGCAGGCATTGGGGATCCGTTGGTTGCTGAAGCTCTTGCTCTTCGAGAGGCGATTCTCTGGTGCCGAGAGTCTGGGTGTGTGGAGGTGCGATTTGAAGGTGACGCCAAGGTGCTTATTGACAAGGTCAACAAGGCAAACTCTAGTGATAGTACAGTTGGGGCGATCCTGGAGGAGATTGTAGGGGTTCTTGGTTTGATGGGAGGGTTCTCTGTGCGGTTTGTTGGTCGGCGTAGAAATAGGGCAGCCCACTTGGTGGCTAGAAAGGCTCTGCAATTGTACCCGACCTCGAGTCGTTCCTTTAATTTTCTGACCTGACTTAATTCCAGGATGTAACTACTTTTGTTTCTGATCAATATATCGATTATCTTTTGGCAAAAAAAAAAAATAACTATAAACCTACACTACAACAAACTTTCAAATAAACCACTTAAATAATGTATTGTATGGCAGGCTAGTGAAAAAACTAAAATTGTGTCTCCAATAAATACCGAAGCTTTATCTATGCAAATGGATCAAACATGAGATGGGCACTTCCACACACCTCAGTAGCAAGAAGTAAATTGGTGCACTCTTCTTTACTAGGTAAGAAGTCGTCGTAAAGCTGCCAGAAGTTATCTTTACAATCAAACGAATACAAAAGCAGACACGCCAGCCTCAGGTCCCAATCTGTCTGCCACAAAGAGATATATAACATAAGGAAGAAGGCCACAGAAAACAAGCCATAACAGAGAATCGAAACAATTCCAAGAACTTAAAAATGCAACATAAAACAACAAAAACCGGAGGATCAAAGTTAAATTATGTGAAATCGAAGTTAGCAGTGTCCAGCCGCAAAGTGAGCAATTAAGACCAAAAAAACCAAGATCGAAGTTCAGAACAAAGGTTACCTCTGGATTGGTTGAGTTGATAATATCGAATATTGGATGACCAACCGGTATTATTATATCAGGGAAGAACATCCAGGGTTGCTTCTTGCTAACTGTGAGCATCAGCTCTAGAGGGATTTTCATGATCATCTGGTCCATACAAACAGAAACCTCCAAATAATTAGACATAGAAACATTCTCCAAAGGGGTGCGTCCCATAAGCACCCCAAACAAAGACATGAATAATTGGCAAAATGGGATAACAATGAACATCACACTGGATGGTAAATATAGCTGAAAGTAGAAGAAACTCACCCTGGGTCGACGAAGGGGTTGCACATCTTTGGAAGCATAAACTCCAAAACCATCAGGCCCTTCTTTGAATTCAATTCCATAAGCACGCATGCTCCGGACATAACCGATTTTGTAGAAGTCAGGGTCTGCTGGTTCCAACTGGTCATATTAGAGAAAGGGATTACATACACACATACTTCGACATAACGGCCATCTATATTCTGAAACAAACACCAGACTGACATGCTATTTCTTTACAAGGAGTACAAAAGAAAGAGTCTTTTCAATCAAATCCCAAATTTAACTTCTCATTATCACAATTCACAAGTAGATGGCATAATAGAAAGTAGGAATTCAGTTCAGAGCTGTTTGCAGCAAGAAAAGCAGAGAGATGAAAATAATGAGGAAAAAGACAGGGTTTATGTTTACCTCGGAGGCTGCTTCTTCGAGCTGGGAAGGTTGAAAGAGAGGAAAGGTGTAGAGGATTGAATCAGTGATTTGTATTGACTAGAATTGGGAATTAAATACCCAAGATACAACCACACGTAGCTATGAATTAGGAGCCACTAAACAACTATAACAACCCACTAAATACAGTAATTAAATAATTAATTGTTATGCTTATCACGCTCCCGCAAGATGGAGACGGGTACGACTCCAATCTTGGACCGAAGCAGCTGAAACCGGGAGATGGGAAGTGGTTTCGTGAGAGAGTCGGCAAGCTGATGGGCGGTTGGAATGTGGCGAACAGCAAGGGCCTCAGTTTGGACGAGTTCTCGGAGAAAATGAAAGTCAAGTGCAAGGTGCTTCATGCGGCTGTGATAGACTGGATTGGCCGAGAAGTTGACGGCGCCCAAGTTGTCGCAGTAGAGGACCGGTGGAGCGGCTGGTTGGTGATGAAGTTCACGGAGGAGATTTTGAATCCAGAGGACCTCGGCAGTGGCATGAGCGAAGGCACGATATTCCGCCTCTGTACTGGATCGAGCAACAGAGCGCTGCTTTTTAGAGCGCCAGGAGATAAGATTATCGCCGTAATAGATAAGGTAAGCCATCGTGGAGGTGCGGTCATTGGGGTCTCCTGCCCAATCAGAATCCGCGAAAGCAGTTAGCCGGGGCCACTGCGTGGGAGCAAGATGTAGCCCCATGGTAGACGTCCCTTTAAGATAACGAAGAAGACGCTTCACACACTGCCAGTGAAGCTGGGTCGGGGCATGCATAAACTGTGATAATTTGTTGACGGCGAAGGCGATGTCTGGGCGAGTGCATAGAAGATATTGCAGCGATCCAAGAGCCTGGCGATAGAGCGTAGCGTCCGCTGGGGGTGTGCCATCGGTGAGCAGAAGCCGAGTGGTGGAGGCAAGAGGAGTTGGCGCAGGCTGGGCGTCGGTCATGCCAAAATGAGCTAGAAGATCAGCCACATATTGGTGTTGAGAGAGAACAAACCCTGCAGCTGTCGGAAGTACTTCAATCCCAAGGAAATAATGAACCGAACCCAGCTGTTTGAGGGAAAAACGAGCCGCAAGCCGAGCTTGGAAACTAGCCAAAGTAGGGGCATGATTACCGGTGAGAAGAAGATCATCGACATAAACAAGAAAGTATAGAAGAACCTCATTCTTGTTATAGACAAAGAGAGAAGCATCGGACTTGGTCTTCACAAAACCTTCCTGTAACAAAAATGAACAGAGGGCCATATACCAAGAACGTGGAGCTTGGCGAAGGCCGTAGATAGCTCGAGACAAACAGCATACATGATCCGGGCGATCGGGATCCACAAAACCAGGAGGCTGAGCCATAAAAACTGTCTCCTGCAAATCACCTTGAAGAAAGGCGTTATTAACGTCAAACTGATAAATCGGCCAATGATGGGTGAGAGCAATGCTGAACACCATGCGAACAGTAACCGGTTTGAGAACCGGGCTATAGGTATCATGGAAATCAACCCCTGGACGCTGAGTGAACCCCTTGGCCACTAACCGGGCCTTGAACCGTTCAATCGCCCCATTTGGTTTATACTTGATCCGAAAAATCCATCGGCAGCCAACAATGTTCTGAAGAGAGGTGCGGGGAACAAGAGTCCACGTGCAATTCGACAATAAGGCAGCAAATTCAGCCTTCATGGCTGCATTCCAGCGAGGATCAGCAAGGGCCTGACGAAGAGAAGTTGGCGTGAGGGAGACTGTCGATACCTGAGCGGAGAAAAGTCTCCTTGGTTTGAATATGCCATGCTGACTGCGAGTGACAATGCGACGGGAGGGGAGAGCTGGCACCTTAGCTGGGGCAGGCGGCGGGGGATGTTGCCGTGAGGACGAAGCCTGGGGAGTGCTGACGGAGGCCTGCGGAGGAGCTGCGAGCTGCGGAGAAGATGCCGGGCTGGAGGAAGGTGGGGAGGGAAGAGATGGGGAAGGGACAGGAGGGGAAATGCGAAAGAGATGGAGGGAGGGAGAAGTGGTGGCGACCCAAGTATTGGGGGAGAGGGATGGCTCGGCAGATGGGGAAATGCCAGGGAAGGAAGTCTCTTCAAATTGTACATGGCGAGAGAAGTAGAGTCGGCGAGCAGTGGGGTCGTAACATTTGTAAGCGCTTTGATTGGGGGAGTAACCCAAGAATATACAACGGCGAGATCGGGGAGCTAATTTGTGTGGAGAATAAGGGCGAAGCCATGGAAAGCACAGGCAGCCAAAGGTTCGTAGTTTGCGGAAATTAGGTTGCTCGTTGAAGAGGGTATAGTAGGGCGAGTCGCCACGTAATGAGGAGGATGGGAGGCGATTGATGAGGTAGGTGGCTGTTTGAAAGGAGTGTGACCAAAAAGGGAGAGGTAAGCGAGCAGTGTAGAGAAGAGCAAGGCCAGTTTCAACAACATGACGATGTTTACGTTCCGCCAATCCGTTATGTTGTGGAGTATGAGGAGGGGTGAGCAGATGAGTAATTCCATGGGTATGAAAGAACGAGCAGAGCTTTTGAAACTCGCCCCCACCGTCACTGAACACGCGGCGGATCGTGGTATGGAAATAGTTTTCGATCATTGATTTGAAAATGGTGAACACATTATGCACATCAGATTTGCGGGAGAGAGGATACAACCATGTGTAGCGGGAAAAGTGATCAACAATGACCAAATAATATGAGAAATTGTCAACAGAGATAATAGGAGAAGGACCCCAAACATCCACAAATAACAAATCAAATGGACGGGTGCTGTTTAAAGTAGAAGCAGAAAAGGGCAATTTATGACTCTTGTGAAGAGAACATGATTCACATGACAAAGTGGAAGAAATCCGAGTAACAGGAAGAGATTGTTTATGGAGCATACGAGAAAAGAGCTTGTTGTTTGGGTGACCAAGGCGGTTGTGCCAGGTAGACGGAGTAGTCTTTGATGTGGTTAAGGTAAGACGAACCGGAGAGGCATCCAACGGCAGCTCGTAGATATCATCCTTATTCATGCCGCGTAGCAGAGGCGCCCCCGTGGTTAGGTCCTTCACAACAAAAACATCAGAAAAGAATTCCACCGATACAGGATTAGTTTTGCAGAGTTGAGCAACAGAAAGCAGACGGCGTTTGATAGCGGGAACACATAATACATCACTCAATGATAAGGTACGAGTGGGAGTAGAGAGAGTAGAGGAGCCAATATGGGATATCTGCAAACCTGACCCATCGCCGACGAGAACCTCATCAGGTCCGTTGTAATCTGTATACAGAGACAGATTGCCCAAGTCCGGCGTCACATGATTAGTAGCCGCCGAGTCAATTAACCAGCCAGCATTAGAAGAGGAGGGGAACGAGGTATGATGAGCCTGAGGGCGACCCTGTATACGATAGCAATCCTTCGCTGTGTGACCCATTTTGTCACAAAACTGACATTGAGGGGTAGGCCGGCCGAGAAGAGAGGGCGCAGCAGCTGTATGAGGCGAGCCAGAATAGCCTCGAGACGGAGAAGCATGGCGATAAGAAGACACTGGAGATTGGTGGCGGCGAGGATTACCACGGCCACGAGGAGACGGGTGCCGAGAGGATTGACGGCCGCGGAAGGAAGAGAACGCCGTAGTGGGAGCAGCCGCAGCAGAATGAGAACGGGCATTGGCCAGATCAGCCTCATACTCAACAAGGCGGTCGTGCAGATCTTCCAAGGCAATGGTTGTGTCACGGGCACGAAGAGCGGCAGCGATGGCCCCGAACTCATCACGCAAACCACGGAGGATATGAAGGACCATATCCTCATTTGAGATTGGCGCCTGGACGAGGGCCAATTCAGCGGCAGTGGCTCGCATGGCCTGCATATAAACCGAGACAGATCGGGCACCTTGGGACTCTTTGGCCAACGTCTCCTTCAGGTAGATGACACGAGAGCGAGAGGGATTAGCAAACATCCTCTCAAGAACAGTCCAGGCATCACGAGCAGTGGTAGCGTGAGCTATATAGGCAGACGCGCCAGGGGCGACAGAAGCATGAATGGCGTGCAGCAAGAGTTGATCCTGGCGATACCACCGGCGACGAACCGAGGCTTCAGCAGTGGGGTCTGGCTGAGGATGAGACCCATCGAGAAACTTGAGGAGGTCCAGCCCGCGAAGGAGCGTTTGAAGCTGAGCACGCCATTGAGGAAAATTCTCACCGGTAAGCTTGGTGGGAGGTTGAGACGCAGGGTTCAAAGTGATGAGAGTGGTCTCATCATTGAGATTAATCACTGTTTCGCCAGACATATTGGGCGCAGATGGGAAAGAAAAGTGATTGGAGATGTAAGGGAGGTGGAGGCGCAGAATAAGAATAAGAGGCAGAGAGGAAGAAAAGAAACGTGTGGTGTTTTAGGTTTAGGTTAAGGGATCGAGCTCATGCTCTGATACCATGTAGAGGATGAATCAGTGATTTGTATTGACTAGAATTGGGAATTAAATACCCAAGATACAACCACACGTAGCTATGAATTAGAAGCCACTAAACAACTATAACAACCCACTAAATACAGTAATTAAATAATTAATTGTTATGCTTATCAAAAGGCAGGTACTTCGACTGAAGAGGCCTTAACGGCTTGCTGGGTGGCTCGAATTCTAGAGCTAGAGTATCTGGCTCTTGTTGTCCGCCATAGTTGCTGCTGGAAGCATTCCTTCTCCTGCTTCATTTTCACAGTATCCAGTTACTGGTGTGAGCAATATTCACCTTTACTTGGGGTGCGAAGAAAGAAAGAGAGAGTACCTGGGATACTGAAAAGCAGCATGCGAGATGATGAAAGGGAACGAAGGAAGCCATTTTTTCAGTCACATTCTACTCTGGTCTCCAAAGTAGGATTAAACGGCAAATTCTATCGCCACTCCGCCCGCCCGGTTCCGGACCAGTTTCCGAAACGTTATCCAACTACGCTCTCGCGCAGGCTCAGCTCACCGGGAACTAGGGTGGGCATTCGATCGGTTCGGTTTCGACCGAATCGAAATTATGAATATCGGGTCCCCGAATTCTCCACTACAAAAAAGATGAGGTTTGGGGATGACAAAACTCGTCCCCGAAAATAGGAAAAATCGTCTCTACAGTTTTTGGGGACGACCTAGCCGTCTCCAATGTGTGGTTCCCTATACTCTTGTCCTCTGTTTTTTTGGGGACGACAAAAATCTAGGTCGTCCCCATTACTAGGGACGACAGTCGTCCCCGATACTCGCAAGTTGTCGTCTCGTTCTTTTCCATGGAAGACAACTTGTCATCCCTATAGCTATAATTGTAATGACAATAAGTCGTCCCCTAGATATCATTTTCAGGGACAAGTTGTTGTCCCGCATAATATATTTCATGATCATGTTGGGTCTATCTGGGGATAATATATCGTCCCCTTTTCTTTTTATATGGACGACATGTCGTTCCTATTGGAATTAACTTGGAGTCCAAAAATCGTCACCAAAAGCTTTCTTCAAGGACTAAGAGTGGTCTCTTATACTATATCTTTAGAGACGACAAGTTGTCACTTATGACTTTTGGGGACAAAAAATTGTCCCTTAACTTGTGTTTTAGGGGACAATGAGCAGTCACTTATGCGCTTTCAGGAACGAGTAATTGTCCCATGTATCACTTGTGGGGACAATCAATTGTCTTACCCTATATTTTCGATGACACCTAACTGTCATCTATTTAACTAGTAGGGACAACCAATCATCCCTTAAGCAGTGTCTTCATAGGCTTCAATTTGTAACCTTATAACTTATAGGGACGACTAATTGACATCCATGCAACTTTTGTGACAACTTGTTGTCCCTTTAGTGGTATCATCAGGGACGCTGAAATGTTATATACGTAAATTCTACGGACAACCAGGTGTCGCTTAAATAGAATCATGGAAGTCATTATAGTTTCTGGAACATGTGAAGTGTGATCAATCTCGCTATCTCCAATTCACTCTTTTATTACTTGCACGAACCATTGCTGGGAAAAAAAACATCACGGTTAGTATAAGAGAAATAAAAGAGTCAGCAATGAACAGCATAATGGCAGTATTCAAAACGCAATTAAAAGGAGAACAAAGAAAGAAACAAAAGCTTGCAATTGAGGAAGAGACTAGGGAAGGATCAGTTGGTTTGCGGTGTAGTGTACCCTACTAAAACATGGAACACATATGAAAATGAGAACTAGAGACGCCGCTCGGAAAGCGTATGTTTTTAGATGAAAATGACCTGACTTCCAATACATCAGAGGAAAACAGGGGAAAAGAAGATTAACAGGAAACAGAGCAAGAACAGCGAGGTAAATCGCCCAAAAAGAACGTGAATTGAAACAACCAGATGGAGGCATGGAAAACTCACCGAACGCTGCGGATATCTATTGAAGCAGTGGAAGGAAAGCAGAGATGTGAAAACTAGATATAGGAGGGGAAACGATATTATATTAATTAGAAGGATCTGTGTTTATCTTAAGGAAAGAAAAAACAATCTTGAAATCGGATTTGGCCGCCAAAAATTAGAGTTAAGAGGGATAATTGGTTGCGTTACTGGAAAAATCGAATGGAACGTGTTGGCTGGCGGGATTTTGAAATTTTTGGCTAAAAAGGTCAGCTATTTTTTTTTTTATAAAAGGCTCGTCACTCCTATCTAAAATCCAATTTGATTTTCGGATGAGATGTGGCTTTGGGGACGCACAAATGGTGGCTTTAGTCACTGGTTAGCTCTGGTGACTCTGATCAGAAGCAAAAAGATGCAACCCTCTGTCTCTGTCCCAGACTATTGACATATATAGGGAAAGAATGAGGGTTATTCATGATGGAGACTTCTTCTTTCGGAGTATGCAATGGTCCGGTCCATATTGAATGACACCGGGTCAAATAGATGTTAAGACCAGACAGAGTATAATATGACCTCTGGTCGTCATAAATTTTATAATTACTAAATAATTGATGACCAAACTGATATTTAGACTTGACTAAGCCGGATCAAATGGACCGAATGCAAATATGGTCAAGTTTATGGTGCTAAAATGTTTTTCACTAATAAACCGCGGTTCTCATTTGTTTGGTCCGGTCCGAACCGGAACGAACCGTTGCACACCCATATTCTTCTTTATATCCTCTTTCCAAAGAGGAGCATTCCCCTTAAATGTGGAAGCAAAAGAAATAGTGACAAAGTAGCAGTGGAGGTGTTCAAACGGTGTGGTTACCGTGGTAACCGTTTTAACCGGTAGTATTTGGATAATTTAGTTTGGTTAATTTGAATAATTAGTTTGGTTAAGTTAAGTTTGTTAGCTTGTTTGGTTTGGGTGATTTGGTTTGGTTTCAGACACTCCTAACCGATCAAACCAAATTAACCAATTAAGTAATTATCTATATATCTAATATATTATATACACATACTTATACTTTGCATAACCACTCAAGAGTAAAATGTAAGGTAATTGTATTAGTTACATGTATTTATGTTAAGAGTTAACTATAGATTTGGGTTGTTATGTGTTATTCATTATATAATATGTGAATTAATGCACTAATCGTAAATTTTCTCACTTAATGATAATTTAATGGTAAATTGATTATTTTGGTTAACCAATTAACCAAATTGATTAAACTCTAGTTTGGTTAATTTGGTTATTGTATTAATTTGGACGGTTTGGTTATGGTATTGTATTCCATGATTAATAAAATTTAGGCTTATTTGATTTGGTAATTACCATGATAACCATTTGAACACCCCCTAAGTAGCAGAACTACTTCAATGAAAATTGTAGAACAGAATGCAGAATGTTATGATTGTAGCATAATTCTCTAATGAATGTAATTAATTCAATGAATGGTTCACAAACTTCTTTTGGTAGAAGCCTCCTAATTGCTTTTTATAATGTTTTAAAGCATGAGTGCTTTAAATTTTTGCCCTATGGTACAAACTAAACTTGTACATTTACCATACCTATATATTTTTGCACAAATTCTTATATGAAAAAAATTGAATTTGTACTTTTTTATGGTACAAACTGAACATATATAATAACATAAAGATACAAAATCACTTATAGTACAAATTGAACTTATACCTTTACAATGTATAGTAAAAATTTAATTTATACATTGAAGCACCATTTCTTTAAAGTTAAGGTATAATAGAAGGGATCTTTATTCTTGAAATAAAGTATAAAAAAATAACTCACATCACACAAAAAATTTCGGTACAAACAGAACTTGTACGTTCAACGTACCTATATCATTTTGCACAAATTCTTATATGACAAAAAATTAAATTTATACTTTTATATTATGATACAAATCGAACTTATACCATAACATAAAGATACAAATTTTACTTGTACCTTAATTTGTAATTTTGAAGCACTCTTTAAATATAGTAAAAAGGCTATTAATTCTTGAAATAAAGTATACATAATAACTCATAGCACACAAAAGAACTCCATGGCCCTACCGAAATGGAATCTCAATTTTAATGAGTTCTTGGTGAATAGTAAATCCACTTCAACTTTTCTATCCTTTCCTCTTTGAAAAGGATGACCTCATTTATAAATAAAATTACAGGTTTTTATAAAAAAAATCGACTTCAACTTTATATATTGATCAATTAATTAATATTAATTAAATTAAATGAAAGAGAATGAGGGACACGGAAGGTTTATGTGTTCCTTTTGAATTGGGGACAAGAAACGTGTAACCCTTATTAACAAATATTATACAATTTAAATTCCAAAAAATTAAGAATGTTGACAGAAATGCGCTGAAGTTGAAGATTCTTTTTGCCGTTTGCAGTTGCTCTTCAAGAGCTCTATGGATCCGACTCCGAGGAAGATCTCGCTTGATGCTGGGTTAGCCCTCTCGGGGGGGAGTTTAGTTTTGAAAGTCTGGTACTATGGATTGTTCTTCTTTTCAGGGGGAGCTTAGTTTTAAGAGTTGTTGCATTGGACGGTTTTTGCTTGGTTGTTTTGAGCTCAGGGAGCTCTAAACTATGACTGGTTTTGTTTATTGATTGAATGTCTTTTGTGGAAAAAAATTTTTGCTCTCTCTCGTGTGGGTCTTGTGCTTGAATTTTTCTTGCAGGTACATCGGCAATCTCAATCTCCAACTTAGGGGGAGATTGGTGACAGAAATGCGCTGAAGTTGAAGATTCTTTTTGCCGCTGTCCGTTGAGCAATCAGAGCATTCAGAAATGGAAAGTACAAGGTGTACCTTCCCTCTTTGGAAAGCAACGGCTAGTTTCTTCCATATATATTGAGTTGCTCGGTTCTTTGTAAAAGCACTTAGAGAGATAGTGGTATAGGACTATTGGAGTTTCTAAGGGGTTCTGCAACTGGGGAATATGTGTCAGTTGCTGGAGGCTGTTTTCGAATCTGGGTGTGGATTCGGGTTTATTCCTTAGAGTGTTTTTCATTTCATTTGTTATTCGAATCATCAATAAAAGTTGAGTCTCTCGGAGAGTGGCAGGTGCCATCTCCGGGACGAGGACGTACCCACTGTTGGGGAACCTCGTTAAAATCCTGTGTGCACTTTATTCTTCTGCATTTCTTCTTCTCTGCCTCTGCTCTGTTTTGTTCGATTCTCTTCTTTGCGTCTCTGTTCCAGGAAGAAGAAAGTCATAAAGGTCAAGGACAATTCCTTGTCTTTGGGCTTTAATCAGGCCTGACTGCCCTAAGAATTCTTCTCTCCTGTTTTTCTTTGGTCTGGGCCGAGATCACTTAAGCCCATCTGGCTGGTCCCTGATCGAGAGGA